GCACACTTTTTTAAAGGCATAAACAATGATCGCGACAGTAATTGTTGCCTTCATTAGAAAGTATGAACACTTTAACACCGTGTTTTTTTCTCTCCCCTTGTTTATGTAAGCGCACTCTTTTTCATCAACCAACTCACCGCAAACGATTCATAATTAAGACTTTTTTCTATTGTTTTTGTTTTTCTCATCATCGCGTTGTAGTCGTTTACTTTATTTAAAAAAGAAATGGTTTAGAATAAGTGCATAAAAGCAGTAGTGGTTGTGTTTAAAATGCGTAACACTCATCTTTTATTCGCTCAATTAAACAAACAATAAACACGCGTTCACATATGCGCATATCAAACGTGTTAAATTGGAAAAATTGAACAAGTGCTTAGTACACGTATCTGTAAATGGATTCTTTGACACCAGCCAAGGACGTTTAATATTCTTAATTCAATGTAATTGAATGGTCTGCGTATATTTAATTGTATTGATATCGATGTGTAGACAGTAATTGAACTGAGAACTGGGTTTCGATGCAAATTACTATAATTTTTGATGGTAATTTTAGTCTTTTTTGTCCTTCATTATGATCGTCCTTCTTTTTCTACCACTTTTCTCACACAAATGACATATTTTTATTCGAAATCAAAGGTCCTGAAGCTAGCTGAAGCCATTCCCAAGGAGTTGTTTTAAAGATTTTTTACCAATCGATTACCCATCGTGTATTTTTGCCACATTGTTGGCTCACTGGTGATTGATGATCCAAAACGAAATATTCAATATGACTTTTGTAATCAGACGTCATCGATGTTTTAACACCATATAATCGTAGATAATTCGACTGAATAATTATATAGATTACGAATCCAGTCAATTTCAATAGAGCATAGTGTCGCCGAATGTAAACAGGAAAATAAGCACGTGCTGGCTGAATTGACGCCCATGTTCATTTTCTATAATTATTAATTAGAACAAAAAGTTCATTCCAATAAATATCCACTAAATGAAATTGATTTTCGTCTTGAAATTTGTCGTTTTTGAAATGATAAGGCTACTTCCGTTGAATGAATTTCTTTTTCTTCCTTCAAAAATTTGAAAAACTTTGGTTAAATTAACTTTTTTCTGAATAGATAGAAAAGATTTTACACGATTTTTCCTTTGATTTTTCCCAAGTAAACTTTTTCGAACTTCATTGGTTGATCATATTCGAACTTCAGTCAATTTTTTTTTCAAATACACCAAAAGTTCAAAATATTTCTATGCGAGAAAATTGCAAAAAAAAACACTTAGTTCGAGTTAATGCAGTCTGTCTGTACAAACTTTGATTTTCATGCATAAATTATCATTCATCGAATTAATTTCATTTCAAACTGATTTATTAAATAACTAATAACCCTAATTTTAAGTCCGTCAAATTATAATACATTCATTATTAAACAATTCTCGTGAATTGCGTTAGTGTTCTTAACGATCAATTCAACTAATTTTTATGATTGATCTGTAAATATACGGTATATTCGCGTAAGTTGATGTGAATTACGGTTTACGGATTATGTGAGAATATCATTTAAGATTCGATTCACAAATATGCATTGTAAAATCGATACAATTCGACTTCAATTCTGTGAAGTGACTGTGGCGAATAGTGAAATATGCATATTATAATTTCTCTTATTACTGAAACAAACAAGCACTATACGCCCATGCACTTCATTCATTTAATGAATGAAAAAATGTGGTTGAAAGAAAATCAAGAAGAATAGAGGAAATAAAGCCAATGTCCTCGATTATATGTGTGGTTGTTGTTGAGTTCTGTGTGTTTTGCTAACCATTATTTTATTGCATGCAAATTTAAAATTTTTATTGAATTATGAGTGAGAATAGTCGAATTGCATCGTTCAAATTTGCATTGGTTAATGATTTATTTTGGAATATGAGAGCGCGAGTATGGCACGAGATTGAAGCGAGCACCATGTGAGCATGCAATAAGGAATCTCCAATCAACAAAATGAACGGCATTGAAATATATGCCAACGGCAAAATAAAACTACATGCATTCGCGCAAAAAAAAAGAAGAAGAAGAAGTGAGTAAGCTTGAGTGAGTTGCAGGCTGATGATGTAGCTGCCGTTAAAGCAGTAGAAATGGCCACCGTACAAAATTGCAATGAACATAATCAATTGTCGCCCGAAGCGAAAAAGCGCTAAGCTAAAATGATGAGTTTGGTCAACTGAAGTGAAGCGAAACCATTATAGAGGCACCACGCGATTGATAGTGTTCGTTCGCTACTTGCAAAACTCTATATACATGTAATCACATCACGAAATGTGCGTATGCACATCATCAGCATTGTACGACACATAAAATAACATTGTACAATTGCGCCCATAATTCGTCTTTGTGTTGTTTTTTTCGCCCCTCTCTCTCTCTCTCTCTGTCTCGTGTGCTCGTGCTTTTTTTTTGGTTTGTTTGTTTGTTGTGCTTCTTAAGAATAAGAGCGATAAAGATTTTGCAATAGGCCTGTGAGCAACAAATTCTTCCACTTCTTTTCGCATCGCGTCGCATTCGCTCTTCACGTCGATTGCATCGTGCAATGTCTTTCAGCATTTTTTTTTTATCAGTGCACCGTTTTTATGTCGTGGCTTTTGGTTTAAGTTTACAACAACTGATAATACGTAATGCAGATTTACCTTGCACTGGTTTGTTAGGTACTGTTGAAACAGTAACACTTTCATGCAATTCGGTCAAAATAAATGCCAAAGTATATCACTTAAATTATAATCACAAGTGATGGACAATTTAAAAGCTAATAAGTTTTTGTGCAATCCAAAAATGATCATTTAAAAAAAAATTAAAACTTCTGCAATAAATTTATAGTTTTTTTTTCTTCGAAATTTTATAAAAATTCAAGTTTAATTGGCAAATCATCTTTCGAAAAAAAATTGCTGCTATGATTATATCGATGCAAGTAGTTATTAATACGTTGATTAGTGGTCGATTTGTGCGTGATATTCTTCGTCATGTATTGTAGAACAGGTAAACCTATAAAGAATGAGTGAGAATTAAATCGACATCGAATGTAGTAAAAAAAAGCCCAACGCAACGTCGCCGTTCGTTTCGCTCGTCATAAATAAATTTCCTGTTGTGAAATAATTAATTAAGTTAGAAAACGCAAAATGCCGCAAACACTGAAAATTAACCGTATTTTTACCGCCTCTTGTTTTTCGACCATTTTAAAGTAACAAGCTGAAAAGATGAGTTCGTTTTTTTTCTCTCTCTCCTTCTCCCTCGTATCCCTACATTGCAGTTGGAATTGTCTAAAACCGTAATCACTGTGAAGTATGCAAATCGACATGAGCATCTAATGAATTGCGTTGTTGTTTTCTTATGCTGCTGTCTCTAATTTATTCGTCTACAAGCGCACATTGCTTTGGGAGCAAAAAAGTGTTTTTCGATTCAGATTAAACAACAACAAAGGTGTGGAAATCGTTTATTAATAAAAACATTGTCCGATTCACGATTCGCTGCTATTTATCAGAATGAAATGAACAAAAAAAAAAAAAATTATGCCGTACTGTGTTTGGCAAAATTAGAACTTTAAATTGGCTGCTGTTTTCGATGTGCATAAATGGCATGTTCACTTTTTTTGCATGTGTGTGTGCATGAGCTTAATGGTTAAATGAAAAGCCGTTTTTTGATGTCGGTGGAAAGGAATTCTTTTTTTTTTCATTTATTTCAGTGGTAAAGAAGTACAAAAAGCATACAGCTACATCATCGACGAGTCACGGTAATAAGCGAGAGAGCGAGAGAGTTAAGCGGTTGTCGTCGTGTCGTGCATCTTCATATTGAGTTGTTGGAAATGATGTATTTTTATTATAGAAATATTGCTGATGCCCAGTTGGACACTTTGCCCCGGCACATACAAAACCGCATATTCACAAAGTATTTGATCATTTTTACACGACACATTGCACGGCGTGGTAGAGTATGAGCGCATCATGACCATGCATGGTCGAAATCTTGTATTGTGTATGTGTGCATATGTCAGACACTAACTAAGTGAGTGAGTGTGTTCACCATCCAAATGAGATAAAACATGTTAAATCGTCAACGCAGCAGTTAATTTACCATACCGTTTTGTGTTGCCAACATCGTTCATCTCATCGTCATCACCATCATCATCATTCGCGACCAATTTCTTCTATCTCTTTTTCTTAGTCACTCCACACTGTGCCATTGGATTTGATTCACTTAGTTTTTTTTACCTTTTTGCTCTCTATCTCTCTCTCTCTCTCCCGCTTTCTTGTTCTCCACACAGCGAGCACATTTTTCAGTTCCGTGCTCATCATTTTTTTATGTGGTCAGTACACGCACAATCTGGAAGCCATCGCTTTGGTATTCTTAATGAAATTCGATTTTATGACAAACTAATTGGATTCTGGTGATCCTATCAACCAGCAAGAAGAAGGATTCCATGTCGTGCATTAAGATGACAACTGCATTTAACACATATTTTGCTTCGAGAGAAAATTAACACGAGCCCACAAACACTCATCAACTGCTCATATTTGCATCAACATGCATATAATTCCCTATCTCTCTCACTCGTCGTGTGATATTTTTTTAAAATATTTTTTTACATTTTTTTTTTTTTTTTTTTTTTCAAATTGAAAGGTAAATAAATCAAATTTTATGCTGAATTAATTACTGTGGAATGTATTCGTACTTTAGAATTGAAAGAGACGTTTTTTTCATGCGCACACACCTCAGGAACGAGAACGAATGCATCTCTCGTAAGATAGTATAATTCTCTCAGCAAAAGAACAGGTTAATATATCGTCATATCGACAATGCACATGATTTATGATGCTGTTGTTTTCAGTCATACTTTTTTTTTATTCATTTTGCTTCACAAATGCTCTTTCACATTCACGCAATTTACCATTCATTCACATTTCAGTTGGATTTTTTTATGCTCATTTCTTTTTTAAATTTATTGTGTTTTTATTTGGTTCGGTATGTTGTTGATTTTTTTTTTTTAATAAGTGTATTTGTAATAGATTCAATAAATGATTTTGACTTTTTGAATTATTTCTATGTTTGCCACGGGATTTATATCAGTTGCTAGCTGGTCATTCGCTCACACGTTCATTGAGCACTAAATGCTAATGGAAAACGTTCGCGTGCCTTCGATGCTGCATTCGATTTTTGAATAACCATTTCACGATTTGCCTCTTGAATTGCTTCCCATAGTTTTGCTTGTGACATGATCTGACGCATTAAATCCTCGACAGCCGGCTCCGAATTTAAATCCAACAAATCACCCAAACGATCATTGCCCGAATTTAACTGTTGCCGCATCGCTGCATGCTCATCATCACTATCCGATTGTTGATTTTTATCATATGCCACACTTTCAGCACGTTTATTAAATGCAGCTGCAAAATTTTGTTTCATTTTTGTCACCAAAAAAAAAAAATCACAAATTTGAAAATGTGAAGCAAAAAAGCCAATCGGAGTCAAATTTAATTTAAACTTACCATGCAATGAATTTACAAGTAAACATTTTTCAGAGTCTTCCGGCTGACAGTCCTGTTTGAGATTGCATAAAATATTGAATGAAAAATCAAATGAAATAAAATTAAATAATTACTTGGTCAAAGGCAGCCACTTTCCACACTTGATAGCTGAGAAATAAAATTAATAGAAAATTAAATAGATTCCACACAGAAAACATGATGATGCTATTGCACAAAATGGATACGAATCAGATGCACGGATTTCAAATAGCCACGTTCAGAATGCAATGAATGTTTGATTTCTCCACGATTTCCAATCAGAAAATCAAATTGTCCATCCGCCACCGGTCGAATCTTGCAGCAAACTGTACTGGCCGTGTTTACATTGTATGTTAAAATGCTGGACAGAGTGAGATTTATTGAGAGTTGGCGTTTTTATACGACAATAAAACGATTGTAAGAACTGAAACATTATAGCGAGACATTGAATTTAAAAAAAAAAATGAAATACGCCGGTCATAAATAAGCAAAGAAATGAGAGAGAAAGAAAACCCGACAACGTCATCATCTATTGAGAGTGCTAAGTGCAATTTTGCGAAAACTAAATGGCAAATGGTTGTTCATTTCATCATCGATATTGTATGTGTGTTACATTTATGTGGTTGGTATTTGGATTTGTCATCAACCACCCGGGCAGCCTCTTAAGTGCACTACCGTCTACTATAAGTGCATATATTTTAACCCGTTTAATGTTTTTAGTGCAAATGCGAAGAAAATCATATCTCAATGTTTGCACCGAACAGGAAAAAAAAATTAACGTTGAAAATATAAGAACAAAAAAAAAAGAGAACAATGCGTTGATGATTATAAAACACCATCGTTGACCCTTAAAATGCATTTTTGCTGTGTAGTTCGATTTTAATAACAGCGGAAAAGAGAACAACAAGTGAGAGTTCAATTTATTTATTTTTTTTTAATCAAAATTGAAGTGAGGACGGTGGGAGGAAAGTGATGCATTTCAAATGATTTTTCGATGCAAAGGATTTCAATTTATATGAAAGCATTGATTGAATCAAATGGAAAAACACGTTTTTTTCTCTCTCTCGCGTATATGCAAGAAGAAGATGAAGAGAGGTTGGGCATAGTTTAAATTGCAAAAATTAAAGTGATGATAAAACAGAGGTTTTCACATTTTCCCTTTTCTACGTTATGTTCGTTTTTGTTCCTCTCTCGTTCGATTGCCATTTATTGCTTCTGATAACGAACAAAGAAGTGGCAAATATTGAATATATTCACATGCAGAAAGGAGATTCGTTTCGTCGTGTTTTTTTTTTGTTTCGTTCATAAAAATTGAACTCATTCATGTCGGTCAAGAGAAGTAAAGCAAAGTGAGCGCACAACGGGCGTTATTAGTTTATTTGGTTTCACTTAGAAGTTAAGAAGCTTGTGTATTTCGCGTACGAAAAAAAAAAATGCGGCCGAAGACGCATGTTAAAATGATTAAAAAACGACGAAACAAATGTTAAGTGTGCGTGCCTGATTCTTTTTTTTTTCTCTCTTCTGTATCGATCGTTGTTATTCTGGTGCGTTAGCCAGTTTATGCATTTAATTTTACATCTGTACTATTGCCACGCAGCCAAGCAGGTCGATGTCTTGTTTTCGTCTAAACCAAACAACATGCATTTCCACTTTATATTGGCTTATTCTCATTTTACTTATATTCACTTGATGTTTTTTTTTATTTGATCACCTCTTTCGTCTTTACATGGACGGACGGATGAGGTGGAAAAAAAGTCAGCATCGCCACCATCATAAACGATGATGCAAAACGTAACAATATACACGGCTGAAATTAGCCGACAAGCAAAGAAATTGCGGATAAAGAGCCAAATATGTAATAATTGTGGTGAACGAGTAAATACGGAAAAATAAAATTAACAATGCTTTGGACAAAAGGGAAAAATCAAATCATTCGTCACGATGCAATATTCCATTGGCTTGCATTTTCATCTTTGGCCAATTCAGTTTTGTATCGCTCATCCGCCGCTCATCTCTCTTCTTTATCTCTTTGGTTGTATCTCTCGCTTATTCTTCGCTCGCTCTCGCTCTCACCTTTTTCTCAAACATCGCGTCGATATGCACTTTTTATGCATTCGCTGACCATTGTGCTTTATACACCGACGCTTCCACATTTTTAAATTCACTTTACTGCAACTTATTATTAAAACATAAATTGTTTTTGCTCCTTTTTCGTTTTCACTCATGGAACGTTTCTTTTCTTTTTGCATTTGGTTATGCACCTTCTTGCAGTGTGTGTGTGTGTACGTCAACTCCTCTTCCTCTTTTGGATTGCATAAAAAGCCAACACACATTTACACATAGCACACATCAAGAGATTTCATTTTGCATTCGATATGCGTGCACGTATTTATCTGCTGCTGTTGATGTTGCTTCGTTTAACTTTCCGGAATTTAGCCTTGAGCCAAATGTATTTCCGATTGACGCGAACTTAGGATGCTGATGAATTTATGCATGAAGACAAGACTATATTTGGCCAAAACCAATCGCGCATCTGCACATATGCAGATCAGAAATCGTGATTTAAAACCATACATTTACACATCGTGAACAATAGACGTTTGTAATGTCGACTTCTTTTTCAACACATTTCCTTGAATTTTTTATGAGATTCTGGTTTTTTTCTTCTTCTAAATCTTCTCCAAATAAGTAAAATTGAGTTTATAAAACTTATTCTTGAGATATTATTTTCATCTGGCTGAAATTCGACTTGATTCTATGCAAATTCCCTTCTCAACAGTCAAAGAAAAAAAACAGCTCACTTTTTCTCAAAGACTTCTCTTTTTACTTCATAGCATAGAGCCTCATTACAAATTGTATTTATTTAAAAATCAACATCAAACTTTTTTTTTCAGAATTGTTTCTTTGTTGCTTTAAATTTGCTCAAAAGTTTCCTTGTTATTCGTTAGTGGTGAATTGTAGATGGAGGTGCCCGTTTGATTTTCGTGGTGAGAAATAAACATAGAATTCAATTTGTATATGTAACTTACAGGCGTAATTACTTCTCAAAGTTCAAATAAGTAAAATGTGATTAAAAAAACTCAATCGACTTTCAATTCCTGATATTTTTTTACATTTTATCTATCTAATAGGAAAACCCGGTCACTTGAATACTCATTATATTTTATGAAAAATACTGCAGTGAGTCTTTTTGTCATCTGGCAGCTGTTGATTTTTTTTCTTCAAGCAGACAAGAGGGGAAAACATGATCAACCAATTAATGTTGACATACCAATACATTTTATGCTAAGTTACAACGGAATCGTGGTGTTAATGAAAATATGCCTTATCACGAAACAGTGTTCACCAAACGATTTCAATTTGAATCAACAAGTGTAATAGACGGTACTTAAATTCTAGTGCAAATATGCACAATGTAGAACCATGTTTGTTGAAATCGAATAAATTATTCATTTTTCGCATAATGTATTATGATGATATTTTTGTTGAGACACGCAATATGAAGTTTTTATGAGTATCGTCAAATTAGAATTGCGCTCTGAAATGCGTTCACAATTTCTATAAAGTTCATGTTCATGGAATTTTTCATTTCAACTTACTGAACTTACACTTTCAAAATTGTTTGAGCACAAACATTTTTCCAGGAACCATAAATCTTGAGTTATTAACATCGAAATATAAACAAATCGTCAACAATATCTGATGTTTGCCTTTTATAAACAAAATAAACAATAAGAATTGTTGAATGACTGAGAACATTAATTTTTGAAAATCACAAAGTTAGCAACGATGAAAAGATTATTTACTCTGCGAGATCCAGACATAAATACAAAAATTTGCTTCTACATTTTTCATAACGAAATCAATGTTCAAAAATTGAGGTCAATGCCAAGATGGCGTTGTCATTTGTTGAGCAATTGAAATATATTATAAAGTAGAAATAATCATGTCATTTTCATGCTTTTCACCGTTAATGCTTTTGCCGAAAATTAAACATAGTTTAAAATTCTTTTTATTATGGCTAAACTCACCCAATATTCATATTGCTGTTGAAAAGTGAATACAGATAAATACGATAGAATCTTATCTGGACGAAGAAGAAACAGGAAAATTAATTTAAAAAAAAATACTTCATGCGTCAACGATTCCCTTTGAATAGACAAAATTAATATTTATTTTTGAATCTATAAAATGATTTTATCATTTGCAATTTAAATTTATGAACAAAATGTTATTTATGCGCAAAATGAACGCAATATGTTTTAATTTACATTTCAATTTGAAACGTATAAATGGATTTTAATGTTCTTGTTATTTTTTATTTTAATCTTCTTGAATGAGGAAATAAATAACGTGAATTCTATGCAATCCTTTTGATGAAATGTTTTAATTTTCCGTCGGCACAATTGTACTGTATTTCATACTTCGGATCATGTTTGACGTCTTCCTGAAGTTTCTTCAATTCTTCAGTTGTGTATCCGATGAGTTCGGTGTTCGAACCAATATCAAGTTTACCAAATTGTTTCTGTATTTCCGACAGTTCGATGCATTCGGCATTCACTTTTAGCGACGATTGATTTGCCTGTTGCTGGGGCTTCGATTGAAATGCTCGTTGTAGGAAAGTTTTTGTATCGTTCTTGTACTTATCTTGTTCCTTGTGAATGTCAGCCAATGTACGACTGACACGGTCATCTTTTGGATCGAGTGCTTGTGCGATGCGTAGCAATTGAATCGACCAGCGGAAATCATCATCAGTTTTGCTGTGTACAATGACAAAAAAAAACAACAATAAAAGAAGACAAAATTCCATTTGCCCGAAAAGATTTTTGCTGCATACCTGTGTGCGATGGCCGCATTAACCAGAACGCCAACATTTTTCTTAATGTTTGAAATTTGACTTAGCTCATTGACCATTTTAACCGCTTTTTTATAGTCTTCAGTTTTGTTACAACAATCGATGAGTTTTTCGTAAACATCAACCAACAACCGATTGCATTCTTTGGTTTCGTTGTCATTTTTCGTGTTTGAAAATTTCAAACGTTGAATTATTTCCATGTTTACGGGAATGGCACGTGAATAAAAACCTTTTCGACGAAGGTCCTTAACTTTTTTCAACATTTCCATGGCTTTCTCTTTGACCATACAAAATTGACGCAATTCGTCATCAGTTAATGTGTCGCAAGCATTTTCACAGCCAACTTCACGAAAATCGACCAATTTTGCAACAAGCAAAACGTCTGCTTTTGGCTTAACCTTTATTTCACCAATCATGTGACCCAATTCACCGTACATTAAACGATAGTCGATGACAAAGTGTGATTCCTCACCTTTGCGCATTGTTTCAACGGCAAACCATAGACCAGTCAAGAGCTCATCAAACATACACGATTTGACACTGGCTCCAGCAACGAAACTCGAATCATATGAATGCTCTGCCTTTTCAAAAAACACACTGTAGCTCCATTTAATTGAACATTTTCGCTGGCCCATCATTTCGCCGGTTCCTTCGGTAATAGTACGCTTGTAAATTTCGTGCTTGGGAATTTTCTGCATTGTTTGTTTCAGCTCATCGAAACTATAGAGCCATGGTGTTTTTTGCACCACCGGTTCATAATCATCAATATCATCGTTGATCAAATCTTCGTCATTTCTATCAATTGAACTACCTTCTACAGTGAACGTAATCGGCTTTGCCAGTAATTCACTTAAACTTATTGGATCCTTCAATTCCATTTTGCACAACTTTTTTTTGCTGTTTTTCGTTTTAATTCTACGAATTAAAAAAATGTATCGTGCTCCTTTTTGGACTCTTTCGTTGGTTTGTCTGAACTCAACCACAACCACTTGTATACTGAACACTTGCTATGCATACATTCAAAGCAAAATGCACGTTATGCGGTTAGCTTATGTAAAACGACGGCGAATGTGTGACTCACTTTGACAGATCAAATTGCATTGTTGCTCAAATTTGACTGTGCTTGACATTTCATCGCGCGCATATTTTAGAACAAAAAAAAATCAAATTGACTGCTGTCCAATAGCTTCGGTCGTTAAATGTTCGGATTGTTCGTTCATTCTTCGAAGGCATATGCTTTAGTTACTACATGTTATTACAATGTCGGAAAAAATTGATTTCGGATTGTGAAATAAAATAACAAAACTGGCGACACTGCTTGTGCAGTTTCAATTTTATTTGATTTACTCCTATTTTTCTGATAATTAGAGGTTCTTTCATATAAACATTTCTATGAACCAACAACGATATACATATTTTAAAATGATTTTTAATAGATCTAAATGATGTGTGTGTAAAACGGTATTTACTCGTATTTTTCATAAACGCTACATAGTCCCGGGTAATAGTAATTTGTTCCTGTTTTGCAATGCGATGCAGTTGGGCCAACTTCGTATATTGGACTGTTTTTAATATTTGTCATTGAATAGTTGCAAGTAATTAATGACCGGCGACTGCCTCTTTCGCTGAATTTACTTATCGCACAACCGACTTTCACACAATCATCTTTCACAATTTGAGTGAAATGTCCAATCCATTCGCTGTAATTTAATAAAAGCACAAATAACTTTTAACCTCATTAGTTTCTTACATTCTAAAATATTTCAAATACCCGTTTGACAGTTGCGATCTTGTGTGCTCGAAAATGTCACTCATGTCAGCATACATCCATTCCTCAAACCAATAGCCTGGTGCCCATTTAGCAATTTCGGTTGCATTTAGATCAGCATTTTTGGCCAAATTTTGACCGGCATAATAGAAATCGTATGTTCCACGACATTCGTCATGTTTCATTTCGCACTGCAATGTATTATAGTGAGCTGTTGCTGCCAAATCGTTATCCCATGTCTGAAGCATTTCATTACAATATCAAATTTTGCCATTTTCGTCAGAATATTCAGACGAATTAATTTATGTGTTTTAAAATATTTTACCATTGTCGCCATGCGAGTTGCTGGAGAAAAATATGGCGTTAGTCCTAATGCTTGTTGATTTCTCAATTTGTTGTGCTCATGCAAAATTATATTTTGTAATTCGGGTGTTATTTTGATTTCTTCGGGACGTTCGCAAATTGATTCCCATCGCTACAAAATTGAAATGGTTCAAAAAAACAATAAAGATTTTCTGCACTGAGATTTAAGATTCGGAAAACTCAAGGATAACCACCATCAAAGCATCCGATGTGTTTTTTACCAGGTGCACCTTTGATCAAGAATTTTCAAAGAAAATCAATTTAATCAAGAAATGTTTGCTTACGAATGAAATATTCTCACATAGTTTTGGATCACACCATTCATTTTGAGCATACACAACCACGGTAATATAGCACAGAACTGTAATGATTTGAAATGGTTATTTAAAATTTTGCCACAGACAAAATTTTACACGAATTTTTTCTTACTAAGAATTTCTCCCAAAAACAACATGATGTTAGTAAAATTGAGCTATTCAATGTGAAATTCTTTGGTTCTTTTGGTTGCTTAATGATTTTCTTCTGATATTGAAATCTTGATGATTTGGTGATTTTAGCGAATTAAATGTGTATCACGTTGATTAAAATATCTTAATTTTTACAAAATGATTCCAGTTACTTCCGAAAGTACAATATACTACTGACTTATTTCATTGCATGCTATTTTGATGGTGCCAATTTAACGAATCAGCGAAATTGTGTCTTTATGTTATTGTTTAATATAATTGAATTGGGCACTAAAAACAAAAACAATGTCAATGTCAACGCGTGCAATATAAATTTACAGTGTCTGGCATATGTATATTTTTCGAGGAAACTCAAGAAATATTTGGTCTTTTCATGAAATTTGGAAAAATACATATTCCGTAATAAAATTCGATTGGAGCACGTTTATTTTCAATATCGTTCTTTTTTAAGTTTGCGAATGAAGTATATTCATCGAGATTTTGGAGCGCTCAAAGTTTCATTGATACATATGAAATATAATTTATAAAAATTGAAGATTTATTTTGTTGAAACAAAATTAGAAAATGAAACGAAATTACTTTTTAATGGAATTTTAAATTCATACTGGTTGTTCACATTTCAATCAGTCGCTGACAATTTGAAAATATCTGATTAAATGAACTTGATTTGATCAATTTATTTGCTTCGAAATATGTTTAGTGTAGAAATAAAACAACGTAAATTTGTTTGTGTTATTTATTTTGCGAAAAGATTTTTTTTTATTTCAAATGCATATTTGTGAGAAGAATAAAAGCGGAATGGTTCGGTAGAGAGACAGTAATGAAAATATAAACGCAATATCTTTTTTAGGATTTGAAGAATGGTCCAGTATAAACTTCATCAACGGTGCAAAGTGCTGGATACTCAGGATTTGTTCCAGTTTGGCAATCGGATGCTGTTGGTCCATCCTCATAAATTGGCCATGAATCAATATTGGCAACGGCGTAGTTACAGGCAATCAATGCTTTCCGTGCACCATTCTCGTTGGTATATTTGGCAATACTACATCCCACCTTATATGCATTGTCCTTCACAACTTGAGTAAAATGGCCAAGGTCTTTTCTGTAATTCAAAGGAGTTAATTACTTCAATCATTGATACCAATTCACAAAAAAAAAACTTTAATACGTAGTGCAGGAAACTCACCCATTTTCATCTCGTAATCTTCCTTGTGAGCGGATATCATTCATGTTTGCACGTGGATATTCTTCGAACCAAAAACCAGGTGCCCAGTTGGCTAAAAATTCATCATTGGTGTCACCGTGAAGGGCCAAATTTTGGCCAGCATATTGAAAATCTTGTGTACTTCTGCATACATCATGGTCCATTTTACATTGTTTTACATTGTATTTTGCGGTATATGCTAAATCGTCATCCCAAGTCTAGAGAATATTAAATAAAAGTGATTCAGGGCACACACACATTGAACTCTGCAAACAAAAGACTTACCATGGTTGCCATTTTTTTGGCCGGCTCAAAACCCGGTGTTTGTCCCATGGCCTGTTGATTTCGCAATTTATTATGTGCATCGACGAACAGTTTTTGCAATGCGGGAGTGATTTCTATAAATTCGGCATCGTCGGAGCAACGCGAATCAAATTCCTATATTTTATAATTAAACACAATTTATTTTTTATATGAATTCCATTTTTTTTTTCTCAAATAATCACGTATTTAATTTTTGATTTTTTTTCTAATTTTCAATCACTGTTTTTTGAAAGATTTATACATTTTTCGAAACATACAAGTTTGACCCCGCAAGCGACATGTGGTTGTTTACCCATCGGACAGATTGCTGGATCACAGTACGAATCGTCTGCACTAGCAGCGGCCACGACCAAACACAAAACTGTGAACAATAAATAGATATAGACGCATTAATTGACGATTTTATATGCAGAACAAATTACACAATTTTTTCAAAACTTACTGAATATTTCGGTAAAAACGATCATATTGAATATGTGTATTGGCAAAGTTAGCAATTTAAAATTCTCTGAACTTTTTCCAATACAGACGTGATCGGTTGCACAAGTTAATTTCTACTGAATTGCCTGCCGTAAAACATCTACTTATTTATATGAATCGATGATGCGGATGTATCTTTTTCGTTATTGTTTAATACGCGAATAACTTTTATGTGTATTTAACTTAGCCAATATAGCTTACAGTTAATCATCTGATATAATTAGCTCATTATTTATTCACAACTTACAATTTAATTTGAATGGTTGTTATCATGCACTCGTGCACTATCTGATACAATTCAACGAAATTATTTTCAATACAATGCTGTATTTTTTTTTAATAAGGAAATTCTTTTTTTATTTCGTCATCATACAATAATATGAGATGTTTTTACATCTTATTCTATGCAAAATTGTAATGCAAATTGCGATCAAACTCTTTGGTTGAAATTTTAACATTAGTGATATACCGTTGGATGAATTTTCATAAAATGTAAAAAAATTGAATGATTTATTTCATTTTGTAGACGAATCAACCGTTTCGTTTTTTCCTATCTATTCCCAAATTATAAAAAAAATGATTACATGGCTACGTACTCATCATTTTGCTACAATAATTTTTTTCATTTGTGTAGAGAAATTGTAGGTAAGTGTGGATATAATTTTAGTTTATTTGTGATAAAAATTGCTTTTTGCCCAAAAAAACCTTTCATCCTCACTTGAAGAGGAGGATCCTCTTCAGCTATCTCCGTGGAATAATCCGTGCTTTCCACGATGGAGAAATGGATTTTTTTTAAAAGAACTTTACACAAACTATAATTAAACATAGTTAGAGATTTAATTTTAAATAAAAAATACACTGCCAAAGGTTATAAGATTTGAATTCGAGCCATATCGACTTTCGTCAAAAAATTCATGAAAATACACAGAAATTCGGTAGTTTGTTGTACTAGAGCCACTTGTCACAAGGTCGATCGGGTATTCTGGGTATGTTTTTTCGAAAGGGCATCTAAAGAGCTACAAACTTAGCAATTTTAATCAAAATCGTAGAATTTAAACTCGATTTATAATGACTTTTGCTTGAAAATTCATGAAAATACACAGAAATGTGATAGTTCGCTGTACTAGAGCTACTATTCACAAGGTCGATCTAGTATTCTGGCAATATTTTTTCGAAAGGGCATCTAAAGAGCTACAAACTGAGCGATTTTAATCAAAATCGTAGGATTTCAACTCGAGTTACAACGTACAAATTAAGTTGTCTTGAAGTTCCCATACAAATTCTTAGGGAAAACCTCATTTACAAGAAAAATAATTTTCTTGGACGAATTTTTTTTTTCGTGGATTGGGCTCAGGAATCTGAAAAAATATGTTTCAAGTTGATAGCTGATACCTTACTTGAGTTATGCGTGGTACAAACAAACAAACCGAAAACGATTCTAAAGCTTGATTATACATCAAGCAAAATGCTTGGTTAGTGTGATATGAATGTGTCAGAATAAAAACTCAACTTCACATTTCACCTCTAGCTCTCTCCTGAAGGATTTTCCATAAGTGTGAGCAGGAGGTGAGATATGAAGTTGAGTTTTTATTCGGATACATGCATATAATGTGTCTCACGTATTTTCATTTATTTGAACAGTGGGTGGAGTAAAAATTTGTGTAATCTTCAGATGATGTCGACAAATTTTATTCTATTCTCATCGTATCGTTCTATTTTATAGATTTATTTTCCTTTGCCGATTTGTGAATATCAAGTTTAAGAATAAAATTACAAAGAGATTTAATATTTTCGAAATGTGTTTTAACTATAAACGAAATATACTTGATTTTTTAAATTAAAAAAAAGTTTTTGCTTGCTTAAAAAAAAACAAATATTGATATAGAATTTTATGCTTTGTTTTAGTATTGTAAAGTCACTTGTCAAATAGATTCAAATCACAAATGAATTACAACGATTCATTTGAATCATGTCTACCCCCTTGGGTAATACACTTCGCAACGTAAAGTGTCAATTATTGAATTTTCTGAGAAGATCTTTTGTAAGCGTTCAATACCAACTATCACTTCAACAAAAAAAAAACTGAGTTCAAATAAAACAATTAAAAATGTAAACTTTGCTTGTGCGGTATTTATTATATAAGAATTTTTCTAATGCTAATTTTTTTTAGATAAATAACTTGAAAGCATATCAAATGAAAAAACGTTGGCTATTGAACAATGTGTGTATTATTAAAATGGTCCTTGATTCCATAATATTCCTTCGTCGTATTTTTCATCGACAGTACATAGGCCTGGATATTGTGGATTTGTTCCGGTTTTACATTTTGATGCTGTGGCACCAACATCATAAATTGGTAGACCATTAACGTTCGATACAGCATAATTACAGGCAATCAACGACTTCCGGGTGCCTTCTTCATTGAATTTGGTTATGGCACAACCCATTTTGTATGCTTGATCCATAACAATTTGGGTGAAGTGTCCAATTTCCCTATTATTGAAACAAACATAAAAAATTGATTTTTTTATTTTTGGAAATGTCGATTTTAATAATTCGATTACCCTTCTGGTGTCGAGAGTCTGGTGAACTTCTTAATGTCGCTCACTTGAGCAAGACTATTCTCTTTAAACCACATTTGCGTAGATGCTTTTGCAAGCTCTGCTGGATCTTTGTCATAATTTTGAGCCAAATTTTGTCCAGCCAAATAAAATGGTGGTGTATTGTGGCAGCTGTCGTGTTTCATTTCGCACTGGGCACATATTAATTGAAATAATAAAAATCATATGAACATTTTGCATAAAATAAATTAGTTTTTATAATAAATAGTTTTTCATTAGTCGTTTAACTTACCGACAACGTATTATATCCGGCCAAACCAGCTAAAGTGTCGTCCCAAGTCTATAGAATTTAATTAAATAAGAAAAAATTAAAATCGAAATGACTGAGATTTAAAAACAATATTTACCATGGTTGACATGCGCGCGGCGGTTGGGAATCTTGGCGTTTTTCCCATTGCTTGTTGATTTCGTAGTTTGTTGTGCTCATCCAAAAAGACTTGTTTTACTTCGTCCGTTATTTCTATTTGTTCAGGAGCGTCACATTTTTTAGCCCAACTCTAATATATGAAATGAAATAAAAAATAATTAATGTGTACACCCAGTTTTCGATCGTTGTTTTAAACCAATCAAAATAATTCAAAACATACAGGATCACCATCGAAGCAACCAACATGTGGTCGTTGTTGTGGTCGACCTATGAACAGAGATTCTTCTATCAAAAACTGTATGTCAATTTAACAATCGGAAAATTCTTACATAAACTTGGATCACACCATCCATCTTGGGCATTCACGGCGGCTGCAATACAGCACAAAACTGCAACAAATTCATAAAATCAGTTAATACATAATAATAATTCACACAAAATTACAAACGAACAAACAATATTCTTCTTACTCAAAAATCCTTTCAGAAACATAATGATAAAGTTAAATTGGCAATGTTCAGGCTAGCACAATATGAAATTCTCTGAACTTTTTCCAATCACTGATATTCTTCACAGAAACGATAGTTTCATCGAACTAACAACGACTGAACAATCCAGTGAAAAGTGTTCTCTATTTATATGAATCGTTCATTGATGTGGATGATTTGCTTCCTACTATTGATATCTTACTATTTCGTTATCTCTTTGTGGTATTACGAATTAATTAGCTCATTATAGGGTTATTTCGTTGAAACACTGCATCTAATTTGAGTGATCTCAATCACGCACAATCCGATATTCATGGAATAACTAACTGTCATCGTAGATTTTGAATATTTTCTCGGCCGATTTTTCATTTAATTGAAAATGAAATCATCGCCAGGGCATTTTCAATATTATATACATTCATTGAATACTACAAATCGCTATTTTCTTCAAATAAATATTTGTGCACTTTTGAGAGTAACTAATCAGAATTAGTATTATAATGATTGTAGTTTGTACGTCAGTTTATTCAATGTAGTAAGCGGCAGTGCGCTTGAATCAAAGTAATAAGTTATACAAGAATATTTTTGTTTTAATTACATTTCCGCACCTACAAGTAGTTTGATATCAAGAACTGAAGAAAAAATGAAGCAAAAGCTTTTCCATTTCAACGTCGGATTTTTTCGCAACGCATCATGGATTTTTGTAAAATGGAGGTGTATTATGGTGGCAGGAGTCGTGTTTTATTTCGCACTGGGCACATGACAAGTGAATAAAATAATAATTTTGAGTAAGCGAATGCCTTGTATTAGTGTTGACTACAACGCAGGTGAACAAGATGATGCATTTCCTTTAATGGTTAATTTAATTGATGCCATAAACCGTTTACTTCACGAACAACTTCGTCATGAATTCAATTTAAGAGATTTCTTTTTAATGATGACGGCATGGAAAGTGGAAAAATATCTCATGAAATTGGATTTTCCACACACACGATGACCAAATCGAACATCATTTTTTTCGGACATAAAGAAAAATCTGATAAAATACTGCAGGAGAAGAAAATTCAAGGAATTAAAAACTGACATTGTTTATTCTTCTTAATCAAAAATCCTTTCAGAAACATAATAATAGAGTTTAATTGGCAATGTCCAGACTATCCTAATATAAAATTCTCTGAACTTTTTTCAATTCTTTAAACAACAACAATCGAATTAACAACAACTGAACATTCCAGTCAATGGCTTTCACTAATTATGTGAATAGTTCATTTCCTGCTATTGATATCTTAATATTTCTTCATCTTTTTGTAGTTTAGCGAATTAATTAGCTCATTATAGGGTTAATTCGTTTCAACATTGCATCTAATTTGAGTGAACTCAATCATGCAGAATCTGATATTCATAGAATAACTAACTGTCATCGTAGATTTTGAATATTTTCCTGGTCGTAGTTTTTATTTACAAAAAAAGAAGCTATTTTCAATATCGATTGTTCATATTCATTCTCTACTATAAACATAATCAACATGTAATGTAACGCCAATATTTGCACATTTTTTAAAGTAACCATAGCTTCTGACCAGGGGTCCGAGGGGTCTAATTAACCCCCCTGAAAGGAGAAGGGATTTGGATAGAATGGGGAAGCTGAAAATAACCCCTTTACAATTTTGATTTTTTTTTTTTAATTAAACCTCCTGGAACGCGACCGTCAGAAGCTATGAAAGTGACTAATCATCATCATTTTTTCAATTATTATTAGAACTATTGTTTATCATTTTGTACTTCATTGAATGAGGAGCAAAGCGTATTAGCTTTTCAATTAGAGAAATACCCACTTTTTTTCTTTTGATTTGTTTAAAGTTATTTTAATTACATTTTCAGATTTTCTTTGGAAGTTTTCATGAATTAAATGACAGTTTATAGGAAGCTAAAAAGAATATAAAAGTTCTGAACAGGGGTCGAATTACCTCCACATGAAGAAAAAATTTAAAGTTACCACTTTGCAAAACACCACTAAGATAAAAGGCAATGAAACGAGATGGTTATAAACTCAAACTTATCATTTCCTACAGTCTACATTTTCTTATCGATGCGCTTGTGGTTCGCAAAATGATTTCCATAATTTCACCAGTTGAAAATTGGCTTTAAATAGCCATTTGTTCTGCATAATAATATCTTTTTTTGAACAAAATTAACAATACGATGTGCATGCCAGTATATCATTAAAAACGTGCAAAAGTAATGATCAAATGCAGTCTCCTATCAAAGTTGTAATAATAAAATAAATAATCCCTCATATTACATTTCGTTCAATTTGTATCATTTCTTGCTAATGATTTTTCTCTTTGTTTTGCATTTCAAATATTGGACAATTCCTTATTATTATTCAATATCTTTAGTGTTGTTTCTTTTTCCACAATATGCTATATCTACTGCAAGATATCAGTAATTAATCCAACTGCAATTAGCTCATTAATTCAGCTGTAATTTTGAATTTAATTAGAATTTGTTTGCATTCATGCCTTTAATATATTGTGTGCGCTATCTGTATGAGATTGCGTGAATTGAGGTTCATAGTAAAATGTTATTTGCGTCATCAGAGATAATTTGAATATTTATCACTTTTCAGCTCAAAGCTTCACAGCGCTGAGAAAGTGTCTTCTTTTAATCATTTTCTGGATATTCCCTTTCTTTCGCTCGAAATAATCAATTAATTTGAATCCAGCGAATATAATGGTAAGCAAAAAAAAACGAAAATTTTATGAACAATGCAATATTAACACCTCATTGAATTTCCTCATTCTAAGTAAGCATCAATCAACCGTTTGAACAAATATCTAGAAAATGCTGACTTATCTAAAATTATCATTTCATATCAAAAAATGTGTCAGTAATAGATATTGTCATTGTTCAATTGTGTGTTAATTTTTAACATGTTTACATCCTTGTTAGATTTTTTAAGCAATCGTTTTTTTGGCAATCAAAATTCGAATTGCAATCGTTTGTAACAAAAATGCACACAAAAAAAAAACAAAAGTGAATTCGAATGATTAACAGTATTTCTTGTAAAATGATTATTTTATTGGAATGAAATTGCAATTTGTTTTTGCTAATCTTTTCTCAGTTCTAATTACAGACATTTCGTGCATGAACATTAGAGACACGAAATATGCATTATCAGCCATTTAAATTATACTTCCAATTGACGTACGTAACGGCTGGAGTTCTCCGAAAAAAACTCGGATCTTGTTTGAAAAAAAAATAGCACAATAAAGTCAATATATTCTAAGTCAACATATCAGTTAGGTCTTTGTTTTCATTAAGTACGCTAGTGCAATACAAAAAACCTATTATTATATTTTATTAATTTAATCAAAGTTATTTGCGATGTACAGTTCAACATTTGAAATAGAACAAGCGGTATTAGTATGAAAAATTACTGCAAACAAGTGGCAAAATTGCACAAAATTCTTTTTTTATTTTTATAGATAAATTCCAATATTGAATATAATGTCTAATATATTGAAGCTGGACCAAAAAGCGAATATTGTACGTAGGTTGCTCCATAATTTTTTTTAAAATGGTACTTATAGTGTTGCCCGATGTAAACCATTGTCATATTCGTAAAGTTTGATGTTTTGGTATGTATTCGTGCCCTGAACCTTTTGTCGTACGAACGCTATTTGTATTGTTTACAGTGACTGGTAAACTGCGACTCAACAAAAAAATGAATTTTACACGTGAAGATTTTCGTAAAATGATTTACTACGATTTTCGAAGTAAATTATCTCAACAACAGTGTTTCGATCGACTTCATTTGGCCTTTGGCAATGAAGCACCAACCCTTCAGACAATTTATAACTGGTACCGAGAATTCCGTTGCGGTCGTAGTTCGCTCAAAGACGAGTTTCATACAGGTCGTCCAAAATCGGCTGTTGTGCCACAAAACATCGATGCTGTCAGAAAACTGATTATGGAAGATCGTCATGTGACCTACCGTGAGATTGAGGCATCTTTGGGCATTTCATCCCACAGCATACATACAATTTTGCATGAACATTTAGCCGTAAAAAAGATTTGCTCTCGTTGGATCCCACATAAATTGACCGATGAACAAAAAATGGCTCGTGTGAGTTGGTGTAAAGAAATGCTCAAGAAATTCAATCGTGGTGCTTCAAAAGACGTTAATAAAATCGTCACTGGTGACGAATCGTGGATATATGCCTATGAGCCCGAAACGAAACAGCAGTCGACTGTATGGGTCTTCCAAAATGAAGATAACCCAACGAAAGTTGTTCGAGCAAGAAGCACTTCGAAGCGAATGGTCGCCTGTTTTTTCGGGAGAAGTGGTCATGTGGCAACCGTTCCACTAGAGGATCGTAAGACCGTCAATTCTGATTGGTATACCACCATTTGTTTGCCCGAAGTGTTTGGTGAAATAAGAAAAAAGAACCACCGTCGCAAAATAATTCTTCATCACGATAATGCGAGCTCTCACACATCTTTTCAAACTACTCGATTTTTGACCGGTCAAAACATCGAACTGATGGGTCATCCACCGTACAGTCCTGACCTGGCACCCAATGACTTTTTTTTGTTCCCAAGCGTGAAGAAAAAACTACGTAGTCAACGATTTTCGACACCAGAAGAAGCAGTTGAAGCGTTCAAAACACACGTTTTGGAGATATCAGTTTCGGAGTGGCACGAATGCTATGACAAATGGTTTCATCGAATGCAAAAGTGTATCGATCATCTCGGGGAATATTTTGAAAAACAATAAAACCATTTTCGACAAAAAACAACTGTGTTATATATGTTTTTAAAAAAAATTATGGAGCAACCCTCGTATTATTTATTTATTTTTCTGCTGGTGTGGCTTTAATAAAAAAAGTAAAAGTATGCGATATACACAAAATCGTGGCAGCTATGATGGTCAGATTAGTCGTCCTCGTTTTTTATATTGCACAAAGATGAAAAAATTGGATGAAGACCATTCGTGCATTCGGATCCAGGTTTTCCACATTCATAAACTGGTTTCGATTTCATATTCGTCACGTCGTAATTGCAACCGAAATAACTTATGAATGAACCATCTATCTCCCATTGAGACATTGCACAGCCAACGCATGTGCATTGATCACTTATCATTTGAGTAAAATGTCCCCAGCCTCTGTAATTATAGTTTCATTTTGTTCATCCATAGATTTGACCATTTTTCGTTCAATTTTAAGATTTATTTTCAAAAAAATCTTACTGAGTCATTCCTTTCTCAATTTCTTCCATATTGCATTCTTTATTTTCATCATACCAGGCAAATAGTGCTTTCAATATAACCTCCGTCGGATCAATATGACCTTTCGAATGAGATGTAATGTAAATATTTTGGCCGGCACATCTAAATCTGGCTATATATAAATGGAATTTATTACAATTAAAATAGACACTGAAAATGCACGCTAAAGAATTAATTTCACTGGCATTTTGCCTCGTCACCAAAAACTGTAATTATATGCATTTAAAATGATATTGTAGTCACTTACGTGTATTACGGCATTCATCATGACCATATATACCTGTACCTACATTGCAAGTAATAACTACAGCCAATTCTGGATCCCAATACTAAAATAAATTTATAAGTTTATTATTTTCGTCGTGAATACTTGAATAAAAATGAATTACCAATGCATGCATCTTTTTGGCTGGTTCATATCCACATTGGTCTCCAGAAGCAATTTTTTGTCGACATAAATTCATTTCATTCAATGTATATTCTATTAATTCGTCTGTAAAGGGTATGATTCTCGCTCCTTGATAGGATTCGGGGAACTATATGGGATTAAAAATATTTTTTACAAAATTTAAAAGAATTTTTAATTCGAATTTGATACAATTTTTTAAATTATATTTTTCAATTACACTCACACCTTTCGTATTACAACAGACATTTGTACCGGTTGGACATAAATCATTAAATTCACAATAATCGATATTCGCTTTAATCGCAGACACACAAATTATAAACACTGAAATTGCTGAGGAATTTAAATTAAAAAAGGAGGATTTTGCAAATTAATATTACTAAATACCGATAAAATATTGGAGAATCATTGCTTGATGAAAATTAAATGCAATTTTTTTAAAAATGCAAATGGCAAAAAAAATTCCGAATTATATGAATGACTGAAAACAAAAATCTGATCAATCACACTCCAAGGAAAATGTTTATATGTTCCAGATTCGTCAGAAAAGATTTCATTCTCTTTTCTGATGCAACTTTTTGTTTAAAAAAAATTCATGTCTGCATTATTGTCAAGGGTTTCATTATATATTTTATGCATATGTGGATGTAAACATAACGAATTAAAAAAAAATATATTTTTTCTTCAAATATTGCAAAAAATCATATCTGTGCTTGCATAGCAATGAATGATTGAATCAGACTTCAGAAAAAAACGATATCAATGCTGATCTGTTTTCAAAGAAAATTTCGATTGGGAACAAAACAGAGTGTGATAATATTGCTTATCATTTATCTACATAAAGCTCAAAGATGTATAATATAATCTAGAAGTGACACGAGTCTTAGTATTGCACATTTTTCTTAGTTTATTTTTAGTAAATTTCACATGAGAAGTTTTTGTTTTTCTATTTATATGATGAAATATGCGTGTAAAAATATTTATTGAAAATGTTGACAAGAAAAAAAGACGTATAATAAATCATGACAAATAACGTCAATTTCCAAGTAATTCCAAGTTCGTGATTTTCTTAAACAATAGATTATGATTATACAATTATACATTTATTCAATTCTATTCAACACACAAACATTTCTCACAATATTTCAAAATAACATTATATTTTTTTACCAAAAATTGAACAATCGATCTATTATTGTAATTAAAATCATGCAAAAGAAAATGTTCTGATGTTATCAATTTTAAAATTCAACATCAGACTCAGAGTGTAGTGTATATGATTTAAATTTCTTTAAGTTCAACATCATCCGGTTGTGCAACCACTTATCCGACATAAGTGCCGACAAATGCTCCACATGCTGGACAGTAGTGATTTCCATTCTGACACGATTCAATGCAATAAGGTAGAGCAGCACATGGGAACAATCTGGAGGTTTAAAAGAGTTCATTGATTCATTTATAACAAATACAATTTCTCAAAGCAAGGAACTCCTTGCATATGTTTTGCTAAGAATTAGTGCGTGATTCTGATTAAAATTATATTTTTGCAATAACATTAGTTTCTTTTTACCCAAACAAACAACATATGAGCGCCACCAAATGGGTTCGTGTTGACGCTTCGTATTCCATCCGCGTCAATACATTTGTGTGACAATTTGCACACACGACCATCGTCGGCTGAGGACCAACCACTGGTGCAGTTTGATGTACATGAACCACATGAACTTTAAATTAAGAACAAATAAAAAACACGAATAAATCGACCTATGTCCATAAGGATTGATTTTAATTACCTGGTTGTTGTGTTATGACAGCTGGCTGTGCTGGATTCGGAGTATATTGTGGCGGCAAATTCGCTGAATATTGCATATTTGGTGTATATTGTGGCGGTGGCTGTTGAGGATAAGGATGGGGATATGCTCCAGTTTCTGGAACTTTTGTATTATGTTCCATGGCTTCGATTTTAATAATTTTCTTTGTTCGTGCTACGTTCTATTTTCACAAGCTCACTCTAATGACTGTATATAATCAGCGATTGAATCAATGACTAATAGACACACTTATCGCAGAAACAATTCAAATTGATAGCACATTTCGATGTGTATTGTCTATGTGAGAGCAAATGTGAAACAATTATTTTTCAAAACAAATTTTTTATTTCAATTGATTAATTATTTAAAATGAGAGTGTTTTTCTGAAAAATAAAATGAAATAAAATTTAAAAAAATACGACAACTTAATTCTTTTATAAAAAAGAATTGCAAAATTTAATCATATGTTGCTGTATATCTTACATATTAAATATAAATATTGCACATAAAGACTTGTCTCAAGATTGAATGAACCTGATTTTTTTAGTTGAATTTATTTTATCGCTTTATTTGACGCAGAGCTTCACATTTCATTTTTAGATTGTAAATTTTTCCATACATTTGTAATAAATGATTTTGCTTTGAGCGTGTCTGGTTGCGTATTGTTTGCGCAAACATTGTGAAATAGACTTGTTTATCTCATATGATATCGGTTGGAAATACATTTGTATAGAATTTCGCTATATGTATACGCAGCTGAGCGATAAGCAGAAGAGAACACCAACACGAATTTGGTTCATATGATAAGTCGAATGCTTGCTAAAGATGTAACAGATTGAATTATGAAAATTAAGTCTGTCTAATTACACCTGTACAAAACACTTGGAATATTTGAATATTTTTGATACGATCCAACACAGAATGTCACTGTCAAAAAGAAAAGAAAATACACTGTCAAAAGAAAAGAAATAAACTTTCAAGTATTGTTCATATAAGTATTATGGAGAGACTGTATGTGCAATTGTGCATGAAAGTATTCATGAAAATGTCTTAAATATATCAACAATAGAGCAAGAAAATTATGCACTTGAAATATAACGTGTCAAATAGTATTTTTCGTATTCATATTTATTACGGTTTTCATGAGTAGAATTTGAACGTTTACACATTTCTTATATTTTCGCATTTTATTTTGATTTTTTATATTGCCAATAAAGTAAACTACAATAGAAAATACTGAAATTCTCTTATAGTTAGAGTATACTGATTACGATTTTAATCAGTTTATTCGGAAAATATTTATGATTTCTTGTCATATTAATGGACTTTTATACTATAAATTTTACATTAAATGTATTTTTAAGACTAATTTGAAACGAATTTCCACAAAAAACGAACGGAAATTAATTAAATATTTCGAAAAAAAAAAAAATAAAGAGTTTTAACTTCAATAATCGAATACAAAGTTTAAGACTTAAGACAATACGTAATTGTTTTCAAGAAGTCTGACTTGAATTATGGTTTCTATGGAAAAAAGGCGTGGGTTCGAATTTGTGTGCTTTAAATATTGTTGATTTGATTCCCAATCAAACTCGTTTGCCACAGTTCACACATTTGAGTCCTGGTTCACGGCAAGAGTCCATACAGTAGACGCATGGCGCACAAGGAATGCATCTATCAAAATATAATAGTAATCAAATTACTTTTAATATCATTTTGACCAAAAAATAAACTTACCCAATTATGCAACAAAGCAAAAAACCCAAGTGAGTACAACATGTTGACCTGAAGGCAACGCGAGTGTGCAACGGCTTTTGGCATGAATTACATGTCACACCACCACCACCGCCAATATTAATCGCTGAAAAAATTCAATGATGATCACATGTTCTTGAAAGAAATCGGTTCCATTTTGAAAACTTACTCTGCTGAAGCATAGGAGACGGTTGAGGCATCGTGGGTTGCGTCACAGGCATGGGTGACTGGGCATGCGGTTGCACCAATGGAACCATCGGTGTTGTGGCACATTTCGTTGCTTCTTCATATGATGGCACAGTTGGAGGATATAATGGTGCCGATGGTGGCACAAATCCGATTTGTTTCGATTCCATTTTGACAAATTTCTAACGAATAACGTAAAAAACTATCCTCATTATCGTCCAATTAAATTTACCTTCAAACCTATTGTAAGGTTATGTTATAATCATTTTGGTGCACACGTGCATCAAAAAGTATTTATGTGCATCAAAAAGTTAAACACCTTAATTTACTTACCAATTGCAAATGAACGAGATAAAATTAGAATCCGATGAAAAGAGACGAAGAATTGATGTGAATTTAATACGTTTAAATAAAACAAATGGAGCACAATAAGTTTGTTGATTCGTTATGATTTTTCCCTTTTGATGGTCGACGCCTAAAAATGTTGAACAGTTATTGAACGATACTCACAGATTTATTTTATTTTCTGTATACTTTGTACACAATGTATTAATATTCGATTTGAATTTTCATTTTCTAATTCGCATAAAAATATTACCTACAGTGATAAGAAATGCGGTGCAACTTTGAGGTTGTTTTCTTCTTCGGTAACTTAACTGAACTAAATAATTCACCGGTTCTATTAACGCTCTCAATAAACTGAACGCAAAGAATAAAACTAACTTGTGCTTTGATTGTGTGATGGCAGCAACGATTCTCTCTGAGTTTTTCTCCAACGTGTCTGTTCTGCGTGTCACCAAAAATATTAAAATAGAGTCTCCATTCAGAGATCACAAAATCGAAATGTCCCAATTATTATTTATACCGAACTATCAATAGTATCCACTGTTATAATATATTGATTTTTGATTATTTTATGCTAAACTAAAATTTCTTTTAAATTCCACAAATTTTCATAATCTACTTTCAATTCTTCTTAATCACACTCTCTTGAAAAATGAATATGCTTATTGACGAACACAATTCGATTTCTGTCCATTCGACACAGTATATGACTGGGAATGGCGTTCGCAAAAATTGTTTGTGTGTGTGTTGAACAATTTAATCTTTGCAGTTTGCACGATTCAGTTTCAACAGATTGCTGACGTTTGTTATATTCTGCCCAATAGCACCTAATCGTATCGCTTTGTTGATTCTTTTTAAAGGAAAAATGTTTACTTATTTTTGATCACAATATTATATCAGTAACATATACTCAAGATAGAGTGAGTGAGTGAGTGAGTGAGGAGTTGTTTTTTCTTCCAACATTGTCGTTGATAGTCACAACACAAACTTATTTATTCAAACATGACACTCTTGCATATTGAGTCATATAGCATTAAATACACAATATCGCAAATATTATCGGTGATCGAATTCAAAAAAAAAATTGTAAACGACAATATATTTGTTTGTATTTTTTCGAAAACGAAGCAATAAACGAAGAAATATTGAAATGCAAATAAATGTATTTGTTATTGCTAAGGGTGTCAGATTGCATTGAGTGTTTATGATTTTCTGCTTTTAATCTACTCATACTCATTATCCACTTTTGTTGAATTGTCGACACATATTTGAAAACAGAATTGTTATCAACACAATTGTTTCCACTTTTGCAATCGTTAAATGATTGCAAATGATGTAGAAATTGAGAAAAATCCATAAAAGTTATCGAAATAACACAAGTAAATATTATTAATCTTGAACTCTTAAACATCTTAACATTTCAATCAAACGCAAGACAACAAGTCAAATTCATGAACTATTTTACCAAGTTTTGTTTGTTTCTTTGCTTGGAACATGTTTTGTAGATATGTATGGATTTATGGCTGGTCTTTAGCCAGAGATCGCTGCTGGAACATGTATGAAACCAATTGGAGGCGGCGCTATTGCCGGAGGTGCTGATCATGCATCTTTTGGAGCACAATTAGGAAACCCATTTCTGGGGAAACCATTCTTTTCATCCTAGTATTAGTTTGCTGACTATTAATCCTATAAGAGTTTTACAAGTTCGCCTACATTGCTTCGCCTTTATTTTTCGCCAGAATTTCAATAAAATACATTTTGCACGCATTTATAACGGAAAAGTTTTGTCTTACCCGATAAGTACGTTCTTAATCACTGGAATTAAACTCAGCATTTTCAAGTGATGATTTCAACATCTTATTCGAATCTAATTGTTTTTCTTCAATAAACCTTCTGATTGTATCAAGTTGTTCATTGGTCGTCAAACGATCCAATATCCCTGATAATAGTTTTGAAATTTCAGCTTCTGTTTTCAAACTTTGAAAATATAATTCGATTAATTTGTGTAGAACAAAATTCTCAGGCGTAACAATATAATTACGCTGCCGTAATATTTGTGTGATTTCTGACGATGTGTTAAAGTTGATGATCTGTTGTGTTAAAGTTGAAACAAAAGCCGTATGTTTGTCTTGCAATCGAATGTTGTCGGACAATATGAGTTCATAGAATTTCTGTAAATAAAAAAGATAATATTACGACAACGCCTTTAGTTTTTTTTATTGATTGTTAATGTTCATTTACTACTATCAAATTTTTATTTTTCGAGCATCCCAAGGCATTTCGAATGACTAATTTTTCAAATGCAACATTTTCGGTTTTAAGCTTGTTCCACAAAATTTCCCATTCATGATCTGATCCGTTGGCGATGAAAGTGCAATAGACGACCGACGCCAAATCACTTCCTATCGACAGATTTTTTTGCAAAACATTGTTAAACTCATCACGAGCAGCAAAAGTACAATTGCTGTGATTGCCACTAAATAACTCGAAATTTTTGGAGTTGTTTCAAAGCTTTCATGAATACAACCTGAACTGTAAAACCGGGGTTTAAAAAGTCAAAAGCATACGTTTGAACTACGAATACACCTTATTCAACTACGTTGTTGAACGGACTTATACTGTACGTTGCCTTGAATTGAGGCTCATCGAAGCATGGAAATACCATTCCTGCATAAACCGGTTGTATTTGTGTTGCAGCCAACCATCTTAGACTTAAAATTAAAAGAAATTTTTGAATTACAATTGATGACTAACCGTATTTATTTTGAAATAAAGCTAGTTTACTTTGTAACATTGCCATCTTGGTATGAGCTACGATAGAAGCCGTGCATATCAGTTCTCAATTTACCCGTATAATTGAAACTCAACACATACCATTCATTTTCAATGAGCGATTGTGCCAGTTTTATGGTATATTTGGATGTTTGTTTATCGTATTTATTCTCCAGGATATTCAAATGGAAATCATTTGATTTAGAAATGATAGATTGATCAATAATATTTAGCTGTTCTTTGTGAAGTTCGATCGTATCAACACTTTTTTTCCTTGATTTCAATGTAATTTGAACAAATCCATCAAATGTGAACGCCTCATTGCCACTATCATTACTGAAATAAGACGTCAATTCAATCAGATATCGAATCGGTTCAACGTCTGTGCTCAAACGATAATTCAATTTGTCACTTTCTTTATTTAATGCACTCATTTCGGTTTTGATCATTATAAAGATCAACAAAGACTTCATATTGCACAATATTCTATAATGGAATTAATTTGATACTGAAATTATTTGTTAAAGCAGGATGAAACGTTTCTTAAAATTATTATCGAGATTTGTGTTGCCTCGACTTTGACCTCTTAAAAGAGATATCTGCAATAATTATTTGCGACAATAGCACGTTTGCTCGGTCGTCATCGATCGGCTTCACTGAGAGAACGGTCGGTGCAATTGTCACTCATTCTATGTTTTCTTATCACTGTTAAGACTGACATAAATTTTACGATAAAATAATAAATGTTTATAACTCAAACCGCAATGTAATTTATAAACTACTAAAACTTATCTAATCGCCAATTTCTGAAATGATTTACCTATAAAAAACATACAACATATGTTAAAGAAACGATGAAAACAAGAAAGTAGCCAAATGAAAATTACAACCACAAAAAGTTCGGTTGTCCACACTTACATTGCACACTTTACTGGCTTGAAAATATTATGTCGATATCTAGATTTTTCGAACTTGATTATTGTATTTGCTTGGAAAATTCCGAAAATTGATGCAATCTTTTTCTTCGATTGCATTCATTTTCATTTTAACATATCATGTAAAAAAACATTCGCTATGTGTAAATTTACCATTTTGACAACATAACAATTATGTCTATTTATAAATTGATATTTAGGCGTTAAGTTTCTATGCATTTTTCCTCATAATAAATTTGATAATATACTTGCCGGAGTTTTTTGACCTGCAAATATCTACTAGATTCTCTTTTTTCCATATTAACTTTCATTTAGTTTAAAAATTCACAAACATTTTCACGAAATGAAAATAAACATACGATTCCAAATATTGCTTTTAAGATTTTATTTTATTGTTATATGTGCTGTGCATTATGTTTCTCATTTCCATTAAAGTCGGGCTCTTCGAAGCTCTTATGTCACAAATAAATTAAGAAATTGAAGATTTTTAGTACTGAAAATATTCCTTGGAAATACGTTTTCTAGCACAGGAAATTGATTTCTTTCTTGTTATGGTTTCTATTACCGAACATTGTTTGCAGCATAAACACGTTTCACAACATGTGTCGCAGATTCCGCCATTTAATTCACAGCAATTACCTATCCAAAAATATATTGTTTAAATTGTTGGGTAGATGAGAATGAATTTTGCATATGTACGGCTGGTAATAAAAGAGACTTTAAGCAGAAAAAATCTTAAAAGTGTCTCATAATTTGTATAGGATTTACATAAGATGGAGACGGTTTAAAAAAACTTAAAGTCACTTTTATTCTCAGCCGATCATATGAACCATTTTTTAAAATTATTTCTTTTATATTGTTCAAACGACAAAGCCCAAAAACGGGCGAGAGATTGTCATAAAAACGTATGTCAAATTACTTTCTATTACAAAAAATATTTACCCAATTCTAAGCAACAGGAACTGAAACGAGAATTATACCAAGAATTACAGCCAGAATTACAGCAACAAGAACTGCAACAATCTGTAGAAAGCGTAGGCTGAATCGCACACAAGTTAGAGTGAGAACATTTGGTAGGCGTACAACACTTCTGCAGAAATGAAACATTTAAATTAATTGCTTGTTACAGAATTATAGCTATAAGCTTCTAAAAATAATTGAATCGATCTCAATTGTTTCAAAGTTTCTAATTTTGTGATTTATGTGAATTTAATAAGATTTGAAAGATTTAATGCTATACGCAGTGTTCGATTCTGTTAAATCCTTCTTTGAATTATTGAATTCACATTTTTGTATTTTCGAATTTACTTACGGTTGTTGGGCAGTTGCAGTGACCTCTCAACTCATCTGCATTTTTGAAAGGAAATATTTTTTTTTTATTTAAGTATAAAAAAATTGATTGAACATGGGAGGAAATTTTCTAATCAATACCTTCTTCGCAAGGTGGCTGATGTAGTAATTTCGACTGCACCACACACAACAGACAGAACAGCAAGAAAAATAAACGTAACATGTTTTCAAATAGGTTTTATTCAAAATTCACCGTATGAATCTGCAGTGTGGCGAATAAATGACTTCTAGTCACAGGTAACACGTTTATTTTATTTATACCTTAGTTAAGTTGAATTTGCTTATCGTTAATCGCAAAATCAATAGAAGTCATTTCAAGGCATTAATCATAAAAAAAATTCAGCACACTGAAAATTACATATATGAATTTGAACTCGCATAATTTAATAAAATTTGAAAAGTTTTTTTTAAATATGTGTAACACCTTCATTTAATTGAATACCTCAATTGTATTCGAAATTAATTCAAATATATTAATGTAAAATAGCTAGCTGTAACTTCAAAAATAGAAATAAAAACGATCTAAATAACAATTACAGATTATACGATCGCGATCATAGGAAACTATCATCAAAATTGTAAACTGGATTCAAAACCAAAGCGCAAATAAAAAGTACATACTAAACTGATCTATCATTTATTTTTTTATAATACAATACCCGTTTTTTATCATATTTATCATTTTTAAAGACCAAATATATGTCATCATTGAAAAACGAATTTGCAAATTTTCTTAAGAATTGAGAGTAAAAGATTGAATTTACATTATAAAAAAAGTGGTTGACCTTAACCGAAATTCAATTTGATGTACAGAAATAATGAATGTGACTTTACTACGGAAGAAAGATGCCGAGAATAATAAATTCGCAAAGCCATTTTTTTTGTTTTCAAAGTTTTTTTATTGTTGAAGAAACTAAATGCAGTACCATGTAGTCCAATAATATAAGGTAAATCAACGCAAACATATCTATTCTACGATTTTTTAAGATTTTTTATGATCAAAGTCAGTTTGGTGGCGTACAAAATACAAATACGCAAGTTCTTACAGTACATGCTGTATCACAAGATTTGTGACTGAAAAAGATTTGTTTATAAAAATATGAAAAAGATTGATAAAAATTGTTCAAGATTGGTGAAGATCGGTAAAATTTGACATGATTGCAATTCATTCAGAGAGATTTGATTAGAAAAGATTGGTGAAAATGGGCGAAACCCAAAATGATTCGTGGTACTCATAATAGTGTCTACCCCCAGATCTACGCCAATTGTGAAATGTGAGTGTGAATCAATGTATTTTTATTTGGTCAAATTTTAAGTTAAAAGGAAAAACCATGTGGAACGCTTCCGCTAACAAAGTGATGTTTGGTTGAAATTTAATAAATAAAAAAGCTTAGTTTCATTTTATCAATGTTGTTTTTTTATTAAAATTCTAAATAAAATGTGTGCTATCCGATTTCCATTTCCGAATAAAACATGAATTGAAAAGAAATGTAATATATCGGATAATATAAATAGATTAAAAATCATTTTTCTGACACACAAAATAAATTTCAACTAAACAATCCTGGTCATTCCATTTGCCATTTCTATTTATTTCGGTGCAATGCTCTCGCCCGGATGGATATGGATAGCCATTGTTTGGTTCGTGACTGTCCCAATTTGTGAATCCATCCTTGAAATCACATCCGTTTGCTGTCCAGAAATAATTAGATTGCTTATCACCCATATCAGTTCCACCAATCCATAATCGCTCGCTGCATGCTATATTTAAGATATCAAGAGAAATTGCATCATCAAATAAAGAAAGTAAATGAAAATTATGCAAACGAAAAAATTTGTTTTTTTTTTATTCTTACCATTTTCGATTGCTTGTTGTTCGTCTTCTGAGCCGATTTGCGCCAAATCCATTCCACGGGAGCGACAAAACTTTGATGCCATATACCAATTTTTCTGGAATTAATCATTCATTAATTAATTGTATATGTGATTGGTATGGTTTCATTTACCTTTTCTAATATGCCAAAATAGAATCGTTTTTTACCCACAATCATATATGGCATTGAGTTTAGCGTACAAACTAAAAAGAGACACATTTTTCATGTATTAATGAATGTTATGGCGTTTGTTTGATAAATTTTCTTACTTAGCTTACATTTGGTTTGTGAATCACAATTGTCGCTGTCAATGCAAAACTCACCGTTGCAATTACACTCTTCTGTATAAATCAGTAATAAAAATCAAAAATATTACAAATAAAATAATTTGAAATTAATATAAAAAATTGTTTGTTTTAGGAAGCGTGTCGAATTCTTAGGAATCCTATCAAAAGGATTTAATTTAAATGTCTACCTTCAAATTTCTCATCTTCAACCATGGTGTATTTTTTTGCGTTTGCCGATATAACTAGCAAAAAAGTCAGTAACAAAACCAAACGAAACATTATGATTGAATGATTGCGATGTGTAAGTTTTCTGTCGAACAATCAGCAAAAAAGTGACTTATGCTCGCAATTCACTGCCGTATTTTATACCTGAGTTTGTCCTAACATGCGCTTATCACTTTTAGCGAAGTCAATGAAACTCATTTCGAAGAATCATCCATAAAAAGCAATCAACGCACAACAAATTCGGTAGTATAGGAATCGTACCAATAATTTATTGGTTGTTTAATGTTTTAATATTATTTCACTGAATTACATCAGTTATATTGTTGTGTTCAGATGGATTTGTGAGTTTTTTGACATTTATAATGTCCAAATAATGCAATTGTACAACTGTTTACGATATGCAATAAACGCATTTCAAGTTATACATAAGATTCAAATGCTTTGTTATAGTTTACGGTTGCTCAAAGTATGAGCTGTATTGATTTAAGAGTGATTTAAATTTTAAGAAATTGCTTCCATTTGTAATGTGATTATGCATGAAGTGTATCGATTGTTTTTTGTCAAGCAGTTACTATTATCTAAAAATGTTATGCAATTTGCTTATTTGTTCTCATTTGGACCCAGTCATCTGGTTGCTTTATCAACAAAACCAAATGCTTGAAACTGAACAGCCACAAAAGAATTATATAAAACAATTGTCCTTTAAATTTTACATTCAGTACAATACCACAGAATTTCATTGCTCTTAAATCGAACATATTTCGATATATGCCGACTATTGCTCAATTTTTGAAATATCTTTCAATTGGTTAGAAAATTATTATTTTTCCATTTGTTAATTAAAAATAGTTTGGCATAGTTTCTTCTTAAAGTTGGCTTTCGAACATACTGAATCTAATTAAAACGAAAGAAATCTATTGATCAGAACAATGTATATCAACCATTGTAAACAATGGGCTAGAATTGTGAATGTGGCATGTGAAGGTTTCATTGTGAATGTGGCCTACATTTTGATAAATTCATCAATAACTCTTTATTCAATTTTATTTGACACCGTGTCTATTATTACATGTTACCCGATCGGTTCTGTAATAGTACCTGTAAATAATTTTATGTGTATTGTTCCTTTTGAAATTATATAAAGTTTTTGATCATAAGCCGAGCGAAGGCGCCGGTTATTTTTTTGACCATTTAGTTTATAATAATAAAAGTGAATAAGTTAAGAATGATCAAAACTTACATTTAGTACATACCTTGTCTGATCTAATCTAATTATAATCACGAACGAAAAGTCTTAATCAATATCTTCAAAAGAAAACCCGTCCAAATGCATAAAAACAAACTAAAAATTTATTTTTATTTCGACAAAATCCTTTATTTCTGTTTTGTTGAATTTCATTTCTCTGTTTGTCTGTCTCATTCATTGTTTGCTGAATTCATATTTTTGTTTCGTGTCACACGTGAAATTGGTTTTATTCTTATAATTAAATTGTAGTCGTCCTACATATACAACTTGGTTTGGTGTATAAGTAATTTAAAATGAATTTTAATTTTGTCTCGTTCATTCCATTCTTGTTCAATGTTCGTTTCTTTTTTTTTAAATTCTTTTTAATATAAATGTAATAATATTTATCTATAAAAAAGAGAAAGAATATTGCACGTACTGAATATGTTTATGTAATGGTTTCTTTTTTTTTTATTTCGCGCATCTGTTCTGTGCCGTTCAAACGTAAAGTAATGAAAATGAAAAAAAAATCCATCCTATTCCGTTTTTCCTTCTATTTTTCTCTCTTTATCTCTGATTATGATTTCACGAAATTCACTTAAAGTCTTATATGTTCATGAATGAAATTGCTATTTAAGCCGGATGAAAATTGAAATGAGCGATTCTTTGCCTAAAATGACCCAAATGTATCGAACGCCGTTTCATCATTTGTTTATTAACATTTTTTTCTGATATTTTTTTCAGTGCATAATTTTTTTTTGTTACTAGCAGTTTTCACTTCACTGACATTTCGAAAATTCATTGAATAATGTTAAGAATAAAATGTTAAAAATTGCGTAGTTCCATTTGTTTTTTTATTCTTTTTTTTTTCTTTCAAATCATTTATTTTATATTACGTATGCTATGTTTCATTTAATTCGTACAATTTAACATTGAAAATTATTCCTTTAGTTATTGTTTTTTTTTTTATTAATATTAATTAATTAATTCAAATAGTGGTAAGCTTTTTCCTGTCGTCATTGTTTTCCCGCATAATTAATTTCGGTTTATGTACATAAATATGTTGAGAAAAATCATTGTATTTTTTCAGTTTTTTTTTGGTATATTCCTCAACACACACACATTTTTCATTTTGCAATGCTTCAATTTCAATTGGTATTTTTCGGCATGCACGCACAGACTGCACTGTCATGAATGAGAATTGTTGAATTTTCTCTTCTTTTTGTTGCATGGACGAGGATGCATGTGGGTGCTCGTTTTTTTTTCATCTTCAATAAATCCAAAGTTCTTACTACAAAAAACGTTTAAGTAAATTGTCCAATCGTTTTATTTTTAAATTTAATTTATAGAGATTTTGTTGTTTGCATAATATGTTGTTGTTGTTATTATTTATTAAATTCAAAATGCGCTGACATACTTATCACACACCGATTGACAGTTGATTTCTTTCATTTAATTTCACTATATATTCGATTTCGTTAAACCACGGACTTTACCATTAAATTGTTAATTATACATATATAGAACGTTTGCACCACGTCTAAATTACATTTCCGCCTTTACGTTAAGTTTTTTTTTTTCATATTTTTGTTTAATTCCTAATTAAGTGCTGAGAAAGCATCACACTTTTGTCAATTTGCTGAGAAATGTTCACTTTCACGCATTTTATTCCATTTATTTGTTTTTATTTAAATTAATATATTAAAGTTTTTACCCTGTGATTTCTTAGTATGTTTGAGAAAGTGTATTTAATCGACGACGATTGTTTTAATGCCTTTTTTTATATCATACTTCGTCAATGCATTCACAACACTTTTTCTTCGATTTCGTTCAAGTTTTTGTTTGGTTATTTGAAAGTATTAGATTTTTTTTAAAAGAAAATAAGAAAAAACACTAAAACATTCAATAAAAAGTTTATTGAGTTTTCTTTAAGTAAATTTAAAATGATCAAAATGAAATTGAATGAAAAACTATTGTGACGCATGCCCGTTTTCATTTTCAGATTATACATTTTCTTCTCTTATTCCAATCATATAATCTATACATATTTTCAATGAAAATAAAAAAAAAACAAATTTCATCATATACTGCTTCTCCTTATCGGAAAAAGTGTACTAATTCGTGAATTTATTTGTTGTAAAAATTGTCTAAAAAAAACGAGATTCTAATAGCGAACTTATAATTCCCCAAGAAATTAAAAAAGAAACACACACACATTGGCTGAGTGAATTATTATAAATGGTGATTAAGAATTGACAATTACAGAACGAAACTCTCTTATATATTGCATGGTATACGCTCGATTCCAGTATAGACAACAAAATTATTATGGTAAATTCGTAATAAGTGTTAATTAACATTGACAAAAAAAAAATAATCGAAAAAATAATGATGAATATTTCCGAACGGAAAAAATATACAATAAAAATATCTGACGAAACTGAAACAAAGAAAAAAAAATATATAAATCACAATAAATTCTATCTACTACAAACATGTACAAAAATGATTCGTATTTAAAAAAAAAGAAGATAGCAGGCAAATTGAACGGAGCCGTACCATGAAAAACATATATTCTAAATTGCCGATGACGAAAATAAATTTGGCGATCTGTGCAAAAAAATACGTCTTTAAAAAATGAGCTCATAACAACTATGCAGACTTAAAGATGCACGAAAAACAAAGAATCGAATCAGATGATCAGACACAGACTGAAGCTGAAACAGATATTGAGATAAAATCTCTCCATTGGACCTGCTGATTTATTGCGAATTCTTCACAGTTTTATTTTCAATTTCGGCATATAAACATCTATAGACTGGCTGGACCCATGGCCGTAAATAAATTGTTTAGATTTAGGTAACAAAATCGAGTAAAACGAATCAGCACCATTTTATTATTATCATTTTTTTGTTGAATATAAAACCATTTTTCTCTTTCTCTCGTTTTTCGTTGTTACTTGAAAAAAAAAATTACAATTTTTCCCTTTAAAATCTGAATTTGTTGTCTATTTATTAATAAATGTGTGCCTCGACTAAATATAAAATAAGCATGGTATTACGAAAAAAATTCTTATTTGCAAAAAATGTCTCTTTCCACATTTTTTTTTTGCTGAGCGTGTGTATGTTACAAAAATATATGTAAAGTTGTTTGATTTCTTTTCTTTTTTTTTTCAAATACAATAATTAATGTTCCGCATACATATTGAGAGATAAACTTATCGATTTTGACACTACATCGAAAAATATAATATAAAATAAGTACATGCATTTTTCCACAACTCTTTTTTTATCTCTTGCTTTCGTCCTTTTCATTCGCACGCCTGCTTAAATTTGTATTAAAAAAGCAGAATTTAATTTAAGGCCATCGCGAATTAAATCGTCGAGGCAAATGAGACTTTGAATCAAAATATTGAACCAGGTCAATTTCACATTCATACACATGGCAACTGTATATCGATTGGTGACGCATTTTTTCAGACTTTCGGTTAAAAAAAATTAACAACATAATATAATATCGAGAAAAAAAAAACGTTTTTTTTTTCGCGGTGTCATGTAAATTCTTCATGAAAGTGTCATATTCTTTTTTGCATGGATTTTGTGTTTTTGGTAAAAATTCCCTAATTTTTTTAATGTTCAAATCCATTTTTGATGTTGTCATATAAACGAAGAAAAATCCTTATTATATTTAATTCCTAACTGTGTTTTTTTTTTGCTGAATTTCTAGATTTTTTTTTTTGCAGTTTATTTAGTGATCTGGTTTAAGTTTCTTTTGCACGATTAGAACAAGTTAATGTTGACAATAATACAATTACTTGGTTTGATTAAATAAACACTTAGTTTTGTTTAGACACACACATTTACAATTTCTTTTCATTTTCTTTTCCTCTTGTTTTATTCACTTTGTCCATATTTCTTCGTTCCATTTGTGTTCTCGCCGAATTTCATTTGGTTATGGTATTATTTTGAATGTACGGTTTTTTTGTTTGAGATAAAAGCACCATTAAAATATTAGCAAATGAAAAACTATCCACCAGTCGACTTCTAATCTTTTTTTGATCAGCACTAAGCACGCATTATGATTTTTCTTTTCATTGCATTCATGTTAATAATTGACACCAGAAGAAAAGGTTCTATAATGTCAAAAGAGGTTTTTTTTTTGTTTAAATCGTATTTTAGAGATGAGGAAAAGTGTGTGTGTGTGTGTGTGTGTTTTCATTATAAAGTAAAAAATAGGTTTTTAAACATGAGGATTCACAATTTTAAGTCGTTCCTCGGAGATTTGCTTTTCTTTTTCAAAAAAAAAAAGTGTTTCTATCATGAAGAATCTGAAAATATTCCGACAAAATGCGCGTGTCATGGATCAATGGCCGGTAGAGATTCATTTAACATTCGTCGTCAGTTTTGTCGATTTTCTGCCATTCAATTTATTTGATTTGTGTGTGATTAAATTTTCATTTCACCCCGATATCATCATTCGCTCTTTTTCTGTATTTTATCGAACTAGAATCGATGATGACTTGGCCATGCTCGGCCCTACCGTGGATCAAACATTGAATGATGATTCGAAAAGAATGCCAAATCGGACGCAATATAATTCTGTCGTCGATGATGATCTGCATAGCCGTATGGATAGTTTGGTGATGGCATATGAATGGTTGGTGGACTGGATGCGGCAAACGCTTGTGATTGTTGTTGTGCATGTTGTTTTTCAAAGAAATCATTCGTTGTTGGAAAACCATAGCCGGCGGATGAGAATCCAGCATGTTGGCCATATGCAGCGGCCGCTGCATGTGTTGCATAAAATGGTGGAAGATGCGGATCAACATTGGTAGTTGCTTGACGGGTGGTTTTTTGGAAAAAATCGGGCGGAATGGGTGGATGCGTTTTTTCATAGAAATCATGAATATAAAGCGGTTGTTGCATAGCCGCTGCCATGAAATTCGAATGGTATGAATTCATTGAGTTGATTGAATTCATGGGCATCGATGCGGATGGCGTTGATGGTGGCGGTGTCAGTGAATAATTATGATTGCTGGTTAAATTGCTCACCGAAAATGGATGATTGTTTAGATTCATCGGTGGTGTTTGTGTTTGTGGACTGTTCGGTGAATGTAGACCAGATGTTGGCGGCACCAATGATGACGTTGGATAACTTGAGCTTGAATAGTGTGACATTAAATTTGCGGTTGGTGTTGATGCGCCATTTAGATCACTACTACGACTTCGATTACTTGAGCAACGTAAATCAGTTGTTGAATTTCCTAACATTGGACTACCTAAGCTGGATGATGCCGATGACAGATAATTCGATGAATACAAACAACTACTTTGAAATGGTGACGATTGCAAATGATCCACACCACTAGCACCGCTACCACTAACACTACTACCAGCGCTTGCAACACCACCACCACCACCACCACCACCACCAACCATACTAGCCGGTATATCGAGCCGACTTTCGCTTGAACGTAAGCTGTGCACAGACGATGATTGTTGCCCACTTGAGTCATGGTTATCACTTAAACTAGGTATTTGATCGACTAGTGATTCAAGACCGGACAAACTTTTCGCTGTTACATCACTTATGCTTTGCTTACTGATGTACGCACTCATTTCGTCCGAGTGCGTTTGTTGTGCTTGTAGATGATGTGATTGGAACGGATTGTGCTGACTTTGGATATGCTGTTGCTTAAAATAAAACAGATTGAATTATGACACAAAAAGAGAGAAATAAAAAAAAACAATCACACAAGATCCGTCTTCAATTTGAATCAAATGAAAGCGTTCAAAACGCAAAATTTTGGAAATTCCGAAATGAAGAATATGCTTACCTGTTGTTGCTGCTGTTGTTGTAAGTGAAGTTGCTGTTGATGCTGTAAGTGTAGTTGGCTAAGATGCTGCTGCTGTTGTTGTTGTTGTTGTTGTTGTGACGCATCGACACCAATGTATGGTGATTTTTGTGCATCCACATTGACGGAAGCCGCTTTTTGTGTGTCTACCGATAAGTATGGCGAATTTTGTGAATTCACACCACCAATTGGAGCCTGTTTTTGTTGCCAATGGTGCTGTTGTGATTGAGATTGCTACGTAATATATAGAAAAAAACGAATGTAATAATTCTCTCTTGGAATTTAACAACATCAAACAAATGTAAACGATTGCTTACCTGTTGCGAAACATTGAATGTATCATTCCAGTTGTCATTGTGTACGCAATCAGGTGTTTCAAAATCGGTCGGTGCAATACTCTGTGAATTTGACGACGGGGAATTGGTGTCACCGTTGCCGGCAGCTGCGTTCAGATGTTCGGCCGTTGAAATAGCCGCCGATATTTCGGACGATAGATTCGAATGGGAGAATTGCTGAGGTGAATCAGAAGCATTTGTTTGTTGTGGATGTTCGTGCGGTTGAAATGCTGTCGATTGCATACTATTAAAATTTCCATTCATTTGACACTGCATGCTACCATTCATATTCAATGGATTATTGGCCGACATTTGTGAAAACATATTCATTGATTGTTGTTGTTGCTGCTGTTGTTGGTTTTGTTGTTGGGATTGCTTTTGAGTCTGTTGTTTTGATGGTTGAGATGGTTGTTGATTCAGTGCCGGTGAAAACATTGTTCGCTCCGAATCGAGAGCTGTATCATTGATAATACTCTCAATGTTGGCACTATTTGCGGGTAATTTTGTTGGAACAATTGAACCATCCATACCCTCCATTTTGACCTTTTTTGGTCGGCCACGCTTTTTCTTTGGCGTACCATCACTCAACATTTCCGAATCTTGTGATGTATTCTGTGATCGTCGTGGCACACTTATTTTCACATTTTCCTCACCTTCACCACGCACCTTTTTTGGTCTACCGCGCTTCTTTTTCGGTGCACCCATCATATCACCATCACACTTTCCACTGATCATACTGATGTCCGTCATATCAGACGGCTGATGAGATTGCATCATATCCGGCATTGAAATTCCCATCGTATTTGGATTTGAGGCAAAACGACTCACACTTAATTTGTCCACTTTATTTCCATCATTATCTATGTGAACAAATAAAAATGCATAATTTTCGATTTTATTATATGGTTAGATTTTATGGTAGACAATTGTGATAAAAAAAATTCTTTTAATATCAAACTTTCACAATTGTTCACAAAAAATATTGTACATTTTTGCGGTGACACCTACCATAAATCGCTTTCGAATTTTTTGGATCGGCAAACACACATTCTGATTCATCAATATGTGGTATAACTCCATTCAAATAGTCACGAAACTTTTTTAATGCCACATAAAATGGCACTTTATCTGCCGCTCTTGGTAATTGTGCACACCTCGCACTGGACGACGGCATCACCCACATATACTGTTTTGTTTTTATCGTAGAGGGAAGAGAGAGATAAAGAGGATGAATGAATAAACGACTCTTACAAATCAAAACACATAAAATTGACATTTTGACGTAGACATCTTCTTCTGAACCATCAAAAATTATGAGTTGCCAGAAGTGCACACAAATGTTTAACATGTCACTCGTTATGAATATAAATAGATAAGGAAAATTCGTACCGTATTCGTTCCTTCGATACATTCCGGTTGTCGGCCAAAGTTAAACTCTTTTTTGCCGGAAAACACTTCAAAAATGAGTTTTCCATTGAAAACGGCTATTTTCGGGCGATATCTTCGAAGTTTTTCATGCAATAAATGGCTGCCCTCTTTGATTTCTTTTCGCGTTAAGTCGGCCGATCCTTTTGTTGCACGTTGCACCATATTAGTAAATCCAATTCCATAGTCAAGTAGTTTAAAATCTTCTTCAGCATTCATTTGTTCGTGTGTCAATCCGGACAAATAGAGGCATTTCCAAAAATGATTGCCAGGACCAGCATAGTGATGACCTCTGTATGCCGCAAATAATCCTGGATTGATTCCAATCTGTTGTTGTCAAACAAACAGGTTAACAAATGCAGGTATTAATTTCAATTAGTTTTAAGAACGCAATCACGTGCATTGACATGGTTATTGAAATCGTTCTTTTTTCGTTCAAAAACAAAAAAAAAGCTATATGATAACATTTCAATTGCATGCAACAAAAAAGAAGCGAGACAGAGAGAGAGAGAAAGAAAGAGAATGAGGTAGCGAGAGAAAATGGGAATATTACACTCACTATGATAATATCTAGGTTATTTGCCAAATGATCGGGTAACGTTCGTTTGGACACTTCTTCTTCGGACATTCCATTGAAGCGATCGTGTTTTTTGCGTTCTTTTGGCGTCGGTTTGGCTATTATGCCTGTTGGTTCATTTGGTAATCCGCCGAGTGGTATATTTTGACTGTGTGTGTGTGTTTGGGAAAAATCAAAAGCAAAAAAAGTCCAATAAATTGTTTGCATTTCTTTATAAATGTGACGACGACGTCACATGCGAAGAACAACAAAGAAATTAAAAAGAAATTCCGGTTTTTCCTTACCCGTCTTCAGTGCGAACTTTCTTTTTTCGGCCGCGTTTCTTTGGCGTAATTTCGCTTATCATTGATGTTTGCGTGTCCATTGGACTGTGCAACGATGACATCAATACATTTTTCATGGTTGGCATTGATTCGTTGCCATTGTTCATGGGATTTTGCAGCGAAGGATAACCGCTCATTGTATTGCCCACATTCGATCGCATTTGTTGCAATGCCAATCCAAAACTACCCATATTCGGTAAATGATGATGATTTTGATGCGGCGATATTGAATGCATATCTTCATCAACAAAATTATATGGATCGTCCGGTTGTTGTTGCTGCGGCGCTTGTCTCGGTTGCTAATTGATAAAAATAAAAATAATGAAAATGAAAAGAAAACTTGATTGAAATTCTAGTTGAGATTTAAGTTTCGGTTCGTCTTCTACATAATATTAGTAGACATACAGCCAAAGAAGTTTGCGAACATAAAAACACTTTTTTTGAGTTAATTATTTCGAAAGAAACTAACACTTACATCCAATGAACTGGGCGTTCCCGGTGCCGATGAGATATTTGAATTTTTCGTGGATGGAGTTGCTGGTGAGTCTAATTGATATGGTTTAAATGGTGCATTCTATCGAATGAAAGAAAAAACACACACACATCAAAATGATTTAAATAAGTAATAAATGTCAATTCAAATTTTCTCAATAATTTTTCTCATATTGATCGCATTATTCACCTGTATTTGTTGTTGCTGCTGTGACTGTTGACCATTGACCGGAGGTAAATACATTGGTGAATATCTAAAAAAATGTTCAGAATAATTAAACAAAATTGTATTAGATGAACACAAATTGATAAATGTTTGAATCAAGATTGTTGGGCTTACAATTTGTATTGATAATGCGGATCATTATCTCTATGAATTTGCATATCCATTTGGTGTTGCTGAGGCAATTGTTGTGACGGCATATTTTGCTCATGTGACATTTGCGTTTGTTGATGATTGTACTGATACATCTGTTCATCGTATTGATGTTGCATTTGTTGTTCAGTATTTGGATGAATTGGATTTTGTTGTTGTTGTTGTTGCTGCTGCTGCTGTTGTTGATGATGATGCTGCTGTTGTAAGAAAAAAAAAGTTTAAAAAAATGTTCATTTTCGGAAATATAAAATAAACTTTTTCGTAAAACTAACAACCATGCTCCAAATCCAAAAGATTAACGAACTTTTCCATTGAAATAAATAAAAATGTAGAAAAAAGAAGCTCACCTCTTGATGCTGCTGACGATCAACATCGTTGTACACATTACGATCTAAATTAGCATTTGTGTTTGTTGTATTGCTTGTTTCAAGTGAATTTGAATCCTTTTGATCGTCATCATCGTCATCATCGTCGTCATCATCATCGTTCGTAATATCATCACTGTCTTCAATACCCGGTATAGATCGCGAATCCTCGTTATCGGACGTTGTTGAGTTCGCATTTTTATCACAAAATATTTTATCGAGTTCATTCACATCATTTTCACTATGCACACGATCAATCATATCATTATCATTATCATTATTGCGTTCGTGTAATGGATTTGTATTTGGACTATGATTTTCTGTTGTTGGATTTGTTTGCGATACATTTGCATTTGTGTTATCATGCATTTGTTCGTTGTAATGATCCGGCTGTGCAAAATAAAAAATTCAAAATGTTGCATACACATTTATAATAGAAACTATATTAAATTTAAAATGCAATTATTTATCTCTTCTTACCGATTGATGTTGTGACCTATCTATGTTGTTTGTTTGATCGGTACTGGCGATCATTCCTTTAATGTGCTCGATTGTTTTATGGTCGGTAACATTATGATCATTTCCATTATCATCCAGTGTATCGATAAGCGCATCCTTTGCAATGCAATTTTCATCGTCTTTAACACTAGTCTGTTCACTGTCATCGGTTGCCATTTGATTTTCATCATTTGGATTGTTTGCACATTCATCAAATGATTCTAATGCAACGGGCATATTTGCATCGTTTGCATTCAATGAAGCCATTTGGAACGACAATTCAAAACTTTTTCTCGTTCGTCTTCACGGTTCCTTTAATAGATATTTTTGTGCAACTCAAATTGTCGTTAATTTTTTTGTTTCCTCTCTTTTGATTTCTGGTTTTCTTCTCTTTTTTTTGGTTTTTCACAACTTCGAACTAGAATCGTTTCAAATAGATATCAATTCGAGACTCGCTTCTTTGTATTTGTTTGTTTGTTTGTTTTTTTTCTATTTCGTTCGACTAGCTTTTCTGTTAATATAGATAAATTTGGTTACGTTTATATTTACTAAAAGAAAAACGGTAAATGTTTTGCTTCATCAACACAAAGAGAATGTCAAAGCAAATTTTTAGTGTAGTATAGTGCAAATCACAATTTTGAGTTTCGATTCCTTTCGTTTACATTCAACGCATGAACATGTCACACAACACACACATCTATCTGATCCAAGTTTAAGTGCGTCTTTAGAACTAACATATTTCGTTTGGGATCTCCATGTGTTTCTCTCTCTTCCTTTCTGTCACTCTTGTTTCGTTTCGTTCTATTTTGCCTTATTCAAAACAATGACTAATTCCATCACTAAACAATTTTTGTTTGTGTGTTTTTATTTTGTTGTTTTGTTAATCACCGATGTACACAGTGAATCGATCAAATTTCACATTTTTTCGATCGATTGGTAAAAGCTTGCGCTTAATTTTAATTTTATGGATTGGTTGCCACATTTTTGCCATTCACAATTCATATTAGTCCAGTTTTTAGTCACACTGCATTTATTTATTATGATCTCTTTTTTTTTTAATTCTTTATTTGTTTTATTTGAAACGTGAGTCTGTTTTCAATTCACTGAATTTCTTTTCCTGAGCCAATAGTTTTCAATTTTTCGATAGTAGCGATGACAGTTTAAGCTAAGCTGTGGGTAGCATATATCATTTTTTTATGCATGCGATATGTATCTTTCTTTCTTTTGCATATATCTTAAAATGTGCTCTTTTTTTATTATCGCAAATAATCCACGGTACGAGTTGAAAATTGTTTCGGGTTGCGTCACTACTGTACTGGTTGTCGTTTGTGATGCGTGATTCTGATTTTCTATGAAAAATAAATGAAAGAGAAAAAAAATGGCATGAAAAAATTGTGACAATAAAATTTCACACTTGATACATCAATAACGAGAGGGAAATATTGAATAACGAGCAAAAAACATGACAAAAAAATGCACACGTTTCAGAGAATTCATTATATACACATACACACAATCATCTACTGATAAATCGGCTCGTACATATACATAAAAAGCACGAAAAAGTGACACACGCATCATGCCAAAATCGCTGCTAAAATCTCTGGATAGTAGCGTATATACATTGTACAAGTGTACAGTGTACACACTGTGGATTGCGGGTGCAAGCGACATTATCGACGTTAACAACAACAAAAACGTCAAAAGAAACAACAACGACCGAACATAATAACAACAAAAGAAGAGAAGATGAAAAAAAATCGCGCACAAAGAACGAGAAACGGAAAAGGAGTAGAAAAGAAGAAAAGAATGAAGAATGTCCAGCCGAATAACAACCTGCTACAATTTGACAAAAATGCACGAACAAAAAAGAAACATTTTGGTTGTCGCGCATACTATGCCACCACCCCGATACACATTCACCAAACAATAATAAACAAACGACGCATCATCAACGACAAAATCAAGTCGAATATTTTCGATTTTCTCTTTCAGTGTCTTTATCTTTTGATTTTTTGTCGTATGTTCCTTTTGATATCATCATCGTCATTGTTTTCTCTTTTAAAAGAAAGACTAAGATTAAACCAAGAAAAAAAATTGAGATCAGTGCGAAAAAAAAGTCTAAGCTTTTCATTCATATCCTTAATTTCATCGCGTTGATGTCATAATTTTCTTGATTTTCTTACTTTCATTCAATTGTATGTGATTATACATGGTCTTTGTTGTGCAACATAATATAAGCAAATATGATTTTCAGAATTTGGTCTCTTTGTTATTTGCTGTTGCACAATATGAAACCGACGCATCAAAGACGCCATATAACTGACAAGAAAAAATAATGATAATCATTTACACGCTCGTTCTCTAGAGCTCCCTCTATTTCAAACACACAATTTTGATCCTGTTTTTCACACCACTCACTCTCTCTCTCTCTCTCTCTCTCTCTCGCACAAACTTTATTTAAAAACAAAATTCTCGCTATTCGTCGTCGTGGTCATTTTGTTTTGTTTCATCAAGCACCTTATATTGCGTTGCCTTTTTTACATAAACCTATTGTTGTAATGTCTTTTGTTTAATTTGCTTTTGTTTCGCAAGTAAATTTTTGATGCTATTGGTAATGTTTATATAAAAAAAGAAGTGGTTTTTGCATGAGCTTGGTCAAACAATTGCTCGTTGAAAAAAGGATTTTGTCGATGTTTATTTTGTGTGTTGTTGCTTCTATTCATTTGTTCGTGTTTACATCTTCGATATTATATTCTTGAAAAAGATATAAAAAACCATGACCGTTTATGTGTGCATGTGTGTGTGTGATTATTGTTATGTGAGAGTTAGTCTGTGGCGACATGTATACATATTCAAATTTCGTATAAATTTAGTACCAGTAAGACTGACCGATAGAGAGAAAGGCAAAAAAAATACTTTGAACGTGTGTTTAGCAACGGATGTGTGCGCGACCTCCTGTGCCAACTGAAGAGAGAATAAAAAAAATATTCCTCACAACGCAGAAAAAAATCACACATACAGTGCCTTTATGTTCCTTTTTGTTCAACGAGCGCGAGAGTGAACGAGCGAGTTTTTATTTTCTTTCGCGTTATTTATTGCACACACATGTTTTGCATCAAAAACCTGTAAAAAAAGAAGAACTAAGAAACTGATTTTTTTTATTCGTTCGTGAGAACGAATACATAAACAGACTTTGTTCGTTTTCATTTTAGTTTCGGTTTTTTTTTTGGTGCAGTTCTTTGGATTTGGTTTAGTAAACTGTGAAATTACAAACAAGTACAGAAAGATTTAAAAGACAAAAAAAAAAACATTATGAGGACAGAAAGGAGTATCAAAGAAAGAGCGAGATGAAATGCGAAATTCAAATGAGTAAAGAGTCAGACAAAAAAAGAACCGAGAATGGGTTGAGTGATCCTTTTATTGTTTTTATGGGACGAGATCGCGACGATCTTTCGAGTAGTTTTTATTGTGGATCCAACAAAAGCACAAACACACACACACACACACACACACACACACACACACACACACACACA